GAGTTTCATGACCTGTAGCACAATACTAGGAAAGGAAAATATTCCTTAAAGATACCCCCAATTTAGGCTAGGACCTGATTTAAATTAACAATTTATCACCAGGTGAGGCCTATAATCCCTCCACTTGAGAGGGTGAGGCAGGAGGATCATGCACCATGAGTCTGAGGGCAGCATGGGCTATGTGAGGTTCAAAACAGGCCAGAACTACATAGTAAGATCCTGTCTCAAAAGCAATAGATAAATAAATAAATAAATAAATAAATAGATAGATAGATAGATAGATAGATAGATAGATGATAGACAGAAAGAAAGAAAGAATGTATCTTTCATAAACTCCTGTTTAAATTCTTACACGTTTACAGTCCCTATGGGAACACTGGCCATCTGGTAAAGACAGGAAGGCATTTTGTAATTCCAAATAACCTGTAAGTAAAATGACGATAAGCATTACACTTCTCTGAGTTCCCTGAACTTCAGCAGTAACTACTGTGTGCATAAAAGACATCTATACACACTCAGTGCAGATGCTTTTATGGCACTGCCTGCCTTCTCACTTGAAGGTGTAACTCTGTATCAACTTTACAACAAATTCTACTGACACTTCTTCATGGCCAGCAATGTGTCCTGATTGAATGCTTTATCCAAGGCACAAAAGGATCCAGCTTCCCGGTTACACAAGTGCCTCTCTCCCAGTTTTATTTTACTTTTTAGATTAATTTTGTTATACATACTATTTTGATATACACAGTGGTCACACTCACTTGGAATTTGTACCTGTACATAATATATTTTGATTCTTCTTTTTTTCCCCACCTTTCTCCCAGTTTTAATCAGTGAAGCATTTTTATGTATTACTTAAAATGAATGTAAATTAAAACTACAGTACTCAGCTATGGACAGTGGGAGCAAGTGGGATTAGTTGACATAATTATTTCAGACAAGACTTCCAGATTGTATATCAAGATTTTTAAATGTTTATACATTTGGATGTGGTCATTAAGCTTATAGAAATCTCCTGAAAGAAAATAGTTCAAAACAGCAAAAATTAAATGCGCCTCCTCCTGAGAAATAATCTATAGCTACATCTGACATCTAGTGTTCACTGCAGTAATTGCATGGTTTTAACTGACAATCCAACGAGCAATGCTTTTTAACAGTGTTAACCTAGTCTTTTAAAATTTTTTTCTCCTTGGAAACACAGATCTGTGAGTGAAAGAGAAAGCTGCATATAGATTAGCTATACTCTTAATAATTTTTTAAATGACAAGAGAAGGAACAATAAGAATAAAAATTTCCTCATGAAAAAAAAAATCTCCAGAAGTAAAATAGGAACAGGTCTGGGAACGTACATAACAGCATCCGTGCTGAGGAGAGATGGGGTACAGGAAGGAGGAGAGGCTGTTGTTCAGATACAGTACAGGCCAAGATCAGAAAAGGAAAGGACTGCACCCATTGGGATCTATAGCTGGAGCAAAGATTAAAATGTTGGGCTTCAGACGTTTAGAAAAAAGTGACCTAGTTGTTAATTCTAGTGACACTGATATAGAAAAAAAGACCCACCTATATTTTATATCTCCCCCGTTTTTTTTGGTACTGGGAATCAAACTCAGGACCTTGTGCTTGCCAGGCAGGTGCTTGTGCTGCTGAGCTATATTCCTGGTCCCCCTTTTATTTTCATGATCCCTACTATGATAATTTTTAATGCAATCAGCAAGGGCAAGTAAGAAAAAATTATTTTTGTACTCAGCACTGTGCTATTCTGTTATCTTTTACTTCTATTTTCATTACTACCAGTTAGTTCTTACCAAGACTAGAGACAAAGGTTACCAAACTTTGGTGTATCACAGACAACTTACGGAAACTTAACAGTTCTTTCATGCTTTCTCAAAATTCAACATCACCAAAAAATAGTGACTAAAAATACAAAATAGAATCAAACTTTGTATTTCTAGATGTGATTCTGTTCTAGAGAATGTATCAATTTGTCCAAATTACACTGTCTTATCTTGCTCACAAAGATTGAGAAGATAGAATTCTTAATTTTTCCTCTCATTTCTCTCGGTGAGTCTTAGGCAGAATGATTACTAATTCTTGTTAAAATACACAGAGGCTGACAAAACCTAGTCAAGATCCATCCAGAGCAGACAAGTACATGTCTCATAACAGGGCATGTTACCTTTACTAACTTCATTTATCATTTTAGTTAGCTATGGCTATAGTATAAGATATTTGCTAGCACTTACCAAGCGCTTCTCTCTTCCCAATAAAAGACATTAAAGCTTCTTTTAGAACTATATTCCTATATCTTTCCTCCCTTTTTCCATTCAGTTAAATTTCAAATACATTTACAAATATATATTATGCATATTTTTCTGCAACTGCTTTACATTGTTTTGCATCTAATGTTATCTCGTACATCTTTTCCGTATCAGCAACCATAGTTTCCTGGTGTTTCATAGAATTTCATTGAATATACTAAATATACATGGTATAATTTCACTGAATGTATTTTATATATTAAATCAGTGAGCTACTTTAAATATTTTTATTTTGTCTTTACAAAAAATGCCGTAATGTACATTTTATATGAACTTTCTATACTTTCTTTTATACTGGCAAGACAGATATTAAGAAGTAGAATTGTTGGGTCAAAGGAATATGCCTTTTTTATTGTTCAGACTACAGGCTTGCTTTCTATTAATGAATATTTCTTCTTCCAGTATAATATGCATACAGAAAAGTGTATTATAGTTGTATGGCTTAATGAGCTTCACCAAATGAACACCGCTGTAACCTACCCATAAAGGAATCAGAATATTAACAGAAATTCAGAATTCACATTTATGTCTTCTTCTAGTTACTGTCCTTCTGAAGAGTAACTAATTCTTGGCTTCTAAAGTTACAAGTTGACCAGTTTTGGACTTTATATGGTTCTTATACAAACAGAATCATACACGATTCATAATCCGGTTTTCGGCTTCTTTGGGTACATGTATTCAAAATATCTGATAGAACAATGGAGACTTCTCATCCTTTCAGTGTTCTAGACTCTCAGTGTAATTTCACACCCTGACCATCCCACCCTGCATCTTGAAATTTTTCTTTCTCTTTCAAGACTGCCACTTTCTGGCACTGTTGCTATCTTCTGATTACCCCTTCTCTCATTCCAGAGTCGTCTCCTCCACTCGCCTAAAATATTTGATTACTCAAGCCCAAGCTCTAGACAATCGCAGTCAAACTCAGGGCCTTTGTCATCATCTACATGATGATGTCTCCAAGATGAATTTTTATGTCCCAGACAACTTGTCTGACCTTAAGAGTGAACTATTCAATATCAGTTGCATTTTTCAAAACTTACTTCAATTTACCTATAAAAGCCTGGAGTTTATCTTTCTTTATAGCTGAATAGTATTTTTTTGGGTCTCTTTAAAATAAAAAAAAAAAAAAACTCACTTCAACACTAAAAACATTTTTCCCTCTTCCTCTGTCTTAGACCTGGTACAGTTCCGGCATTACTGACCTTTGTGGAAAATATCACCAGATGCAGATTTCACAGCATAGAAGCCTTAGTCATTCTTGCCATTTATCTCTCATCATTCCCTCCAGCCACTAAGTTACGGAGTCCTAACAACTTACCCTCTTAGCTAGGGTACCTCTTGCTTAGGCTATAGCCTTCCAGCTAATTTCCAAACGTACTAGTATTCTGCTTAAAGTTCTTTATGGTTTACATATTACATTGATTAATGTCCTTAAATCAACAAATGAAGCCTATCCATCTGGCCCCTTCTCAGTTCTTGAGTCTCTCTCTCTTCCTTGTCTTTCTTTCCTCACACATTCTTTAAAAGAACTTGAAATAGGGTAGAAAGTTGGGCAGTTATATCCAACATGGTTACCTGGAAGATAAACATAAGAAAATGAAGCAAGTGGAATTTTGGCATAATTTTTTTTTCAAAATATCATGAGGGTCCATGGCTGGAGGGATGGAGGTGGAAAATTCAGAAAACAATGAGATAAAGAAATAATTGCCTATAAAGATTCCAAGCTGCTTACAACACCGATTGATATAATGGCTAATACTACAATCTAGTTTGTACAATTGGTTAGGAATCAGACAAACTCACATTGTCATATCTATTTAGCCCATTTAAGTCTGCATAACATCTGCTGAATCATAGCAGCAGTAAGCAGAAGTCTCACCATAAAAGCCCACCTTACGGGCTTTTATGTCACACTATTAAGGTGGGAGCATTGACATCCAGTATTTAGCACAATTTTTTGGACATAGTCAATTGCTAAATGAGTCCCAGGCAAATTACTATATTATGAAGAAAATAAAGCTTTTAACAGTATAGCCCTGCATGAGGCAGGAGTAACACAAGCTCAATCAGTGCTAAAGATAATGAGTATCCTGGGGGTAGACATTTCCCAAGATGATTATGGACTCCTATTACATGGTATTCTTTCCTCTGGCTCCAAGAATGTTTCCAGGTAACCACTGGTTGAAGATGCACTAAGTATATATTCATTTGTTTTATTTTGTTTTTGGTGCTGAGAACAAAACTCAGGAACTTGAACTTGCCAGGCAAGCACGTGTGCCACTGAGCTAGATCCTTAGCCCCTTAAGTATATATTCATTAAAATGTACTCTACACCAGGCAATTTGTTTCCTTCCATTAGGATAAGCACGAGAAAATTTGGATTTTCCCTTATCTTTTTCTCTTATCTTGAAGTCCAGACTTTGTGACCACCATAGAGACAAGAAAGTGATATTTCTATATGGGTAAGTAAACTTAAGTAAACTTAGCCATATAGAAATATCAGTGTAGACAAAGCCACCCACTCTGTTTATGGCTGCTTTTATTGTAAATGGAGGACACAGCTTGTGTTTATCTCCTCCTTTACTATCCTTAAAAAAATATACATACAAGAAATTGCAATCCAAATTAAAAACAAATAATGGCACAGATAGAACAAAATACTAATTTAATTATTTAACCATTCAATTTTCTTTATACAGAGGATGCATGATTTAATGAAAAGTACAAATTGCAATCAAAATCACAGATCTCTGGCTTTGTCGCCAACATCAATTATATAAATATAATCATGAAAAAGCCATTTATTTTACCTAGACCCCAAATTCTTCCCATGTAATAAGAGGGCTAAAGTTCATTATCAAATTTCAAGGGGGATACACATATGCATACAGACAAAACATGTAGGTATGTTTATATTGCATTTGTATCCCTGTGTATACTCCTGTATACGAATCTTAGTTTCTTATGAAAAAGCAGATTATAAACAAGGGGACAGGAATAGGCTATGGGATTAATCCTATTTATAGGATATATATATTTAAGGCATTAAGATGCCTGTATCTTCATCTACCTAAAGCAACAGATAAGTGGAAACCTGTTGGAAAGCCAAATTCTCAGGCCTTACCCTGTACTTAGCTGAAGCAGGAACTGTGTTGCCACCTGCCTCCCAAGAGATTCTGGTAAACACTAAAATACGAGGACATGCAGCATTTGAACATTTCCAGGGGTGAGTAGGCTAGTGTCTTAAGCAGAAGGGGAGAAAGTAATTCAAGGAGAAAACTGAGGACAGTCTACAGTGAACTTAGGTCAGAGGTGGTAGGACTAGAGGTTGGTGACACATGGCAAGGGACAGGCAAATTCTATGGCAGCAAGAGAGCTGGTATGGGAGTGAAAATACAGAGCAGAAGCCTAAGCAGTAAAGCAGTAACTCCTGTGTTAAATCACTTACTCTCGTGCAATCATTCCTGCCACTATGCTAAGAGTTGCTGGCTTAAGAAATTTCTCCTCTATGGTGCACCCTGAAAGAGGACAAACATCCTCTGTTCTCAACCACAGATACTCCAACCCCTGCAGTTATGTATGGTAGAAAACGAAAGTGGGATTAGTTGATGTTTCTCAGGATGCTGCTGCATGTCTTCTCCAGGCCCCTTTCAACAACTCAGAGCCTCCTGATTCCAGGTTTAATTATCCCCTCCTTGACAGCCAAGTTTAGGGAAAGTAAGAAAGTCCCTAGAGTTTTGCTGGGCTAAAGACGAGCCAGCCGAGAGAAAGCCCTGGGGGTAAGAATCAACCTATAAAAACGACAAGGCAAGAACTCAGCGTGGACACTCTTCAAGAGGCTGATAGACGCCTCGTTGTCATCCAGGACATTCCCCTGAGAGGGGAACCCCCGGCTTTGCAACTTCCTGGCCAGTGTGAGGGTCACTAGCCGGCTATAACCTTTCCTGCGATGACCAGGTAGGGTGTAGCCATGGCACATGGTGGCAAACTGGTCTGTGATACCCCAGGATACTGGGTTTCCCTTTTCATCGCGGACACACACACTGGGAAAGCAAGAGATGAGGTTGGCAATGTACCGGAGACACTGTTCGTTGCCACCCCGTGACCAAGTCCGGTTGAGTAGATCAGCATCATCAACACTCAGGTGGGTTAAGCGTGGGGGAGACATCGTTCTAGAAGAAAATGGCATGACAAGTATGAGCTCAGAATCACACGATTATACATAACTACCCTTTTCGTACTGATTCAAGCTGAGAAAAATATCCCTGAAACCATGCCTCATATTTTCAATGAGTTAGAACCCACCAATCCCCACTCACAAGCAATCTCAGGGTTTAATTTCTTTGTTTGTTTGTGGGTTGTTTTTTGTTTTTTGTTTTTGTCTTTTTGAGACAGGGTCTCGCTATGTAGTTGAGGCTGGCTTTGAGCTCACTTTGTAGCCAAGGCTGGCCCTAAACTCATAATGATCCTCCTGCCTCAGTCTTCCCAGTGCTGGGATTGCAGGCGTGCACCACCACTCCCATCTCAGGGCTTAATTTCTGATAAGACTGAATACTTGTTATATCAAATTTAAATCTTTCCTTTTATTTTTATGGCCATTTATTTTCTTCAAATTTGGCTTGAGGCTGTCTCATGCCTTCAATATCCAGGACATACACTGCAACCGCACCTAGCTTTGTTTGTTTACACACAAACTGAGGAATATAATAGACAGCTGAATTTCAGTCAGTTATAATCATGCCAGCGGGAATTAAGCCCAAATAAGACAGATGTCTACTGCGGCTGGTCAGGTGATCTCTGCTTGGCTCCTGCCTCTGTGTACAAGCTTGCTGTCACACTGCTGGACTGAGCTCTGCGAGCGTCTTCTGGTTTAAATGCTGCCAGATTTATGAAATCCTTCTTTGCTCAAATATGTTCTTCTCAAGTTAACTCGTCTAATGTTTTTCTTTTAATTCTTTCATAGAAAAAAATTCTCAGAATTGTTCTTAAGTCCTGAATCTGCTAAAACCTTCTGTGAGGTCTTGGGCAGGTTCCGACTCTTAGAATCTAATTCTAATCTTTTGCTTAGTAAAATGAATATTTTAGCATTCAGGATACTTCCGTTTTATGTATCTGTGACAAGAAAATAAATACAAGTTGCTGTATATGCCAGGCATAGGTACATCCTCTGTGTATCTTAGCTTTCCCAGCCTTCCCTATGCCGCTTGACTCTAGGTCAAATAGTCTCAATTTTTTCCAATGGCCCCTTTTCATATACCAGTTGCTTTCTACTATATTAATTCCAATGCTGAGTTTCTAGTATTTTCTATATAAAAGCTCCGGTATTAAAATAAAGTGACTTGTGCAATTTTTGAAGAATTGGGATGAATTACTTCATTGAAAACCTATAAGGTTGATGGTGCCTTGGAATTTGCTTTCATTCCTGAATTTATCAATATCATAAGCACATCCTCGGTAAATATTCAAAGACTGATAATATAGTTTTGTAAAATACAATTTTGTGTTATCTTTTTCTCAGTGGTTGTGTAGTGCTAGCGCACATTCTAGGCATATTGTCGGGTAAGGCACTGGGTCAGTCAACTGTCCGCTAAACAGGGATTAAGAACTGGCTGAATAGGATTTTCAGTTTTTAAAATGAACTTCAAAGCCAGGGGAAAGAAACCTCAGGCATGAATATTGCTGCAAAGAAAAACATCACCAAAGCAAGTCCTCCACGAAGAGTTATATTAGGGACTTTGAACTGGCCTCTCAGGGGCAGGGTATTCAAAACAGTGTACACAAATTTGGGTAATAAAATAGGTGCTAAAGGTAAAAGATAAAATGTCACTACTAGAAGAAAATGGGGGATAAACTCCAAGATGCTAAAATGGGCAAGAATGTTTTAGGTAAGTCTCCAAAATCCCGGGAAACAACAGCAAAATACACAAATGATTACAACAAACTAAAAAGCTTCGGTGCAGCTAAAGAAACAAAAGAAAACAGAAAACAGTGAAAATACTGGCAAACTGAATTTCTGATAGGGGTTGACATCCAGATTATAAGAAAATAAAAAAATATCAGTAGCATAAAACCTAAATAATCCCAATTAAAAATGGTAAGGGACCTTCATAGACATTTCTTACAAGAAGATAGAAATGAGCCTGGCATGGAGAGCAGGTTCTCACATTTTAGCGGTTAGCTCACTGTGCAGGCCTTGGGTTCAATCCCCAGTACTCGAAGAAAAAAAAAGTCCAATTGCTCTCTCATGACTTAAAGAGACAATTCATTAGATTTAGTTTTCTGCTCAACAATTTCTTCATAAAAGTAAAGAAAACTAACATTCACTGAGGTGGGTGTTTTTCATGTATATTGCTTCATTTTCTAACCAAGTAACTTGTGATAAAGATTGTTATAGTTTATGTCTAGAGGTCCCTATAAGCCTCTTGCTTATAGTTTATGTCTAGAGGTCCCTATAAGTTTATGATTGTTATAGTTTATGTCTAGAGGTCCCTATAAGCCTCATGCACTCATGGGAGGGGCTTTGGGGAGGACCATGGGGGTGTGACACTATTAGTGGGTTATAAACTCATGGATGAGTTTATAGCTAAATGTGATGTTGGGAGGTGAATCCTGGTTGGAAGAAGTGGGTCGCTGGGGGTGTAGCCTGGAAGGGTCTCCCTATCTCTCTCTCTTTTTCTCTCTCTCTATCTCTCTCTCTCCCTCTCTCTCTCCCTACTCCGTTGATTACTTTGTGAGCTGTATCTCCTCTGCTCTGCAGACCTGCTTTGGAGCCGAAAGACTGAACTGAAACCTCTACAAACTGTGAGCTAAAACAAACCTCTCCTGCCTAGAGATGTGTCAAGTATTATGTCTCAGTGATGAGAAAGTAACTAAAACAAAGATATATTCTCACTCTTGAGAAGAAATTATTGCTCAGACAGGTTATGCTGAGGGGAACACAATGAGCACATGATAGAGCAGGAGCTCCAAAGTAAGAGATAAGGGTGAATGCAGATACCACCACCAACATGCTTTCAAGGATTTCTTTTTTGAGTTGGACTTCACGTTTTTTCCTGGCTCCAACACTTTCTCTTCTGTGTTACTGTAAATCTATTAAAAAATGGAATAATAGTCCTACCTTATAAGAATCTGGAAAGGATTAAGGGGATGATATATTTAAAATAAAATATATTACTTACATAAGTCATATATCCCTGACCTGAAATAACAGCAACAAAAAAATAAGAAAATAAGAAAATAAGTTTGGACTCACACCATAGAGATTAGTTAGAATTATTTTGGGGGAAAACACACTAATGAATGATTTCTCTATGTATGCCATGAAAACACAAGTATTCTGAGCTCATTTATAACTATGACTTTTCAGGAAATATGAGCAGTAAAGTATAGGGGAGAGGAACAGTGAACACCACAATTTAGAGTCAATAGCCCAAATCAAACTGCACAAATATTCCTTAATGAGATGCACTCCAGTTACCGATGTCTGGACTCCTATAGCATTAAGTCCTTCCCCAAATGCAGAGCATGGTTTACATACAGCAAACTGGTGTCTGGCAGAGATGAAACAGGAGAAAAATGCACAGCCCTGAAGGAAGTTAGCTTTATATCCAACTGCTTTGAACTGGCAACAGCTTTGGAAACATCATATAACTCACTCTGTAGCCCTGTGTAAAGAAAGACAAAAAAGTGACCATTTTATTTGGAGCAAGAATGAAATTGGTCACACTGTTTTCATACTGAGTATCATCAGTAACACTAGCTTGCTGTCTTGTCTTATCTTAACCATTATATATTTATCTATAAATTATTAGTTATTTTCTATGAGATTTTCAAATTTTTGTGGAATTTTTCCAATCAATCCCCGTTATGTTCCCCATTGTGACCACCTGTCATGATCTTTTTATTTTTTTATTATCATTTATTTTGATCTTTTTATTTTTTGAGATGGTCTCACTATGTAGTTCAGGCTGGTCTTGAACTCACTATGTAGCCCAGGCTGGCCTCAAACTCACAGTGATCCTCATACATCAGCCTCTCAAGTGCTAAGATTACAGGAATGTACCACCACATGTGGTTTCACCTGTCATGAGATTTCATAGAAATTTCTGTTGGAAATATTCTATGGAAATTGAAATTGTTCATACAAGTTTTTACTTGTTTTTCATTCCGCATATTGGCCTTAAATTCCTTGAAGCAACAATATTTTATAGCTTGCAAAGGCTATGCTATAATCACCTCTATGTGAGAGTTTGGATTTGTTTGGTGTGGCAAGCCAGCTTTAAATCTTCTCTTCCAGCCTGTTGCCAAAATGTTCATTACAGTATTAAAGATATAAATTTTGGACCATTGATATAGCTCAGTGGTGTAGTGTCTGCCTGGCAAGTGGAAGGTCCTGAATTCAATTCCCAGTACCAAAAAAAAAAGATATAAATTTGATGTTAGCAAGTGTCATGGCTTGTAGCTAGATGTCCGCCCCCACCCCAAAACTTCATACATTCATAGGTGGAGCTTTTCAGAGCTGGCTGGATAGATCTAGGGTGTATGATCCTGGCATTAAGGATGTGTGGCACTAAAGTAGTCCATTAATTAGAATTAGCATAGTTCTCTGGGTGGGGCCGAATGGATTTACTGAAAATAGAAGCTCACCCTGGGTACGGGTAGCATCACCCAAAAGGTTTGTAGACTGTTTGGGATGAAAGGGACGAGCAGGCTCACTTCTGCTGCTTGCTGCTTCCTACCTTCTTTGTCATGGACTGTTTCTCCTCTGCGGTGCCCTCTGCCAGGCCACCCTGCCTTGGAGCCCGCTGACTATGGACTGAAACCTCTACAAACTGTGACCTGAAATAAACCTTTCTACATTTAACTTTGGGTACTGGGTATTTTGTCTTGGCAATGCGAAAAGTAATTAAGACAGTGAGTTTACACTGAACTTACCTCACCCAGGTCCCACTATCATAGTTATAACACATTATTTATAAAACTTTGCTCAGTATTTGTTATACATAAAGCACTGTTCTGTGCAGCACTTCACAGTGGTAGACAAAAATGGTATGCCCCCGCCTGGTATGGTGGTGAAATCTATAATTTCAGCTGCTCGGAGGTGCAGGCAGGAGGATGCCAAATTTAAGGCCACCCTGAGAAACTTAGTCAGACCCTATCTAAAAAAAAAAAAAGTTTTAAAGGGCTGAGATAATGCTGAGTGGTTGAGCACCCTGGGGAGAGGTAATAGCATGACTCCTATTTCCCCATCTTCTTCCTTCTTCCCCGTCTGACTCTTATTGATTGAATCCTTTAGAAATTGTCCTTCCTTCTTCCATGTCTAATGACTTGTTCCCTTCCCTCTTGTGAGCCACTTCTTGGCACAGCCTTGAGACTTTCTCTTGAAAAATACCTGATAAGGCATATTGAACAGAGTGTCGTGTCTGAGCCTTACCTCTTCTCTCAGGGACTCAGGCCCCAGAAAAGTCAAGAAAGTGAATGCTGCTAAAGTTACAGATGCTATGACTAGCATTCCATTTTATAAAACTGATTTACATCCAAGTAACTGAAAAGCTTTTCTATGAGAAAAAAAAAAAAGGCAGTACCAATCAAAGCTATTTGTATAACATTCAGATAAAAAACGGTAAAAACACAAAATGTATGTATATGTTTGTGCATAATGTGTGTATTTCATATATATGTGAAATTCCTATGTATTTATATATCTCACATATACACAATAAAAAGAGGAAAAATGACTGCATTGTGTATGCCTTACATTTAATCTCACCTTGTATTTGAAAAACTTGGTCCCAGTTAATAACATCTTGTTCTTCCAGCAGCTGTTGGTAAGCCCTGACGTCCTTGTAGAACACAGCATAGGCGTTAGTGTAATGGTCCAGGTTATCTGTCTCAGCCTAGAACAGATGACACAGTCACTGAAACATATCCTCCAGATAACTCGAATCCTAGAGAGATTAAGTATCATTAGCTGGGCATGTTCACTTACTTTTCAATCACCAAAATTAGTCACCTAAAAACAATAACGTGAGAATGATGCTAATATGCTGTAGAGAGAAGAGTAAAAATTTCCTGACTTTTTTTTTCTTTTCAGATTAGGAAGGTTTTCAGACATTTATTTTACATTCTTCTAGGATTTTATTTATTTATAAAAATATAAAAAGGCAGGGTGTGATGTCAGATATCAGTAGTCCCAGCTGAGGGAGGAGGCTCTTGCGAGACTGAGGTGTGAGGATTCCTTAAACCCAAGAGTCTGAGGTCCCCTTGGGTAACATAGTGACACCCAATTCAAAAATAAAAACAAACAGGTGGGGGTGTGGTGCGGTGGCTCAGCGGCAGAATGCTTGCCTAGCATGTACAAGGCCCTAGGTTAAATTTCTAGCTCCACTCGTACACACAAATATCTAAATGGATGGTTGGATAGATGGAAAGATGGGTGGATAGGTGGATAGATGAAGAGTAAAACTAAATGAATCCTCCTTTAAGAATCAAAGCTCTCAGAACTGTCCTAATGGAGTGCATTAGGAGGGCAGCATATCTTTGGTGATGATCTTCTTTTTGGTCTCATAGGCAGAATAGAACTAAGTGTCCTCCTCATTTACCTGCATGAAGTCATCAGTCATAAGGAATCATCCACCCAGTGGAAGAGCTAGTATGTTCACATCAGCCAAGTGTGCTTTGTACGTCTACAGACAAGGAAGCACTGAAGAAACATTTTATACTAGAGGTCTTTCAGATGCCTGACACTGAAGCCAGTCACAGCAGACACTAATGGTGAAATATGTAGTTTATCTGATTATTATAGTTATAGTGTTTACTTTCCCTACTCTATTCTTTCTAGTTGATGCCAGTTCTCATTTATTTGCCTTCCAAAACTGTACCTCTCTCTGTCGCCGGGTGATGACAGCTTTGAAGTCTGGCCATGAATCCAATACGACTTCCTTCTGGAAGGGATTCCCACGATTTATGTTCATCACTGCTCCATAAACCTGCACAGGGAACCCAAAGAGAGAAGCCAATCACACTGCTAGATGATGTAGTTGTATATTACCTTCTTATTCTTCTATATAACCACACCCAGGAGAGGGTAGGTTATAAATCTATTCATACTCATATATTCAGTGCACATACTTATATACTTGTTTATTATTATTTTATCAGTGCTTATGAAAGCTGGTAAAAGTCTATTAAAGCCCAATGAAAACTCCCTAAACCTAGGTTTCTACAGCACAATAGTGATGGATACTAAATTAATAGGCTTTTTAGGTGATTCTGGACACATAGCTTAGCAATAAATATTTGAGTCAGGAACTGATGTATGGATTTAGAGCTCACACATATCTTAAAAGTTCCACAGATAATCTTAGTGCTCAGCTGCTTTTAAAGTTCACTACACCATCTGAAAAGAATTTATAAAATGCAATTACTCCTGAATAACAAGTACATATCTCTTGAAAGCAAAACAACCTAAGTGTCCATCAACAGTGGAATGAATACATACATTGTGGCATATTCATACTATAGGTTATGAAACAGCAGTGAAATGAATAGATCACAACTATACAGGGAATCACTATAAATCTCACAGAAGAAGCTAGATACAAGTAAAAGAAGCTAGATACAAAAGAAGTGATTCAATTTATACTACATTAAAAAACAGCCAAAACTAAGTGATGGCCTTGGAAGTGGGGACAGAATGATTGAGGAGTGAAGACAGGAAGTGACTGGGGAGTGGGGAAGGGAGTGATTGGGGAGTGGGGACAGGGAGTGATTGGAGAGTGGGGACAGGAAGTGATGGGAGAGTGGGGACAGGAAGTGCTTGGGAGTGGGGACAGGGAGTTACTGGGGAGTGGGGACAGGGAATGGCTGGGGAGTGGGGACAGGTAGTAATTGGGGAGTGGGGACAGGAAGTGGCTGGGGAGTGGGGACAAGAGGTGATCCGAATGAAACATTGGAGCTGAGAAGAAGCTATATCTGAAGTACTGTTCTTTCTCTTCCCCAGTGGATACTACATGGGTTTTTGCTGTGTGAAAATTGCAAAGCTATAGAATTATACTGTTTGTACTTTATTGGATGTGCTAGTCTTCAACAAAAACTTAATTAGAAGGGGACAGAATGTACATTTTAAATGAGGAGAGGAGGGATTGAAGCAAGGGTAGGGAATGTAAAAAGTGAAGTTTTATCATGTACAGGTACTAATTATCTATGATGAATATGACCACTATGCATATCTAAAAGGTACAGCAGCACAGCGCCTGCCTGGCAAGCACAAGGTCATGAGTTTGGTTCCCAGTACTGGAAAAAAAAAAAACCCAAAAAAGAAAATTTTCTTCTATCTTACCCAATCTGGGACTTCACTCAAATATTCTCATAGAATGTGTCTTTCCAAATTGAGTCTGGTTTACGGTAACATGTAACATAGACCATCCTTAGTCCAAATGCAAAAGGAAAACCAACGTGGAAGGGTCATGGTTGTTATGCTGATCACTGAATTCTGTGGCTTCTCATCTTACAGAAAGAGTGATGATTACTAAAATGGCTTCACACAAGGAGCCTGTGCATCCTATTCAAGGATGTAGCCTAAATATGGCTGTGATGTCCTTACTGCTAAATGGAAAAAAACCCTTTCAATATTCAGGTTCTAAAAGAGAAATATTAGCCGGGCGTGTTGGCACACGCCTGTAATCCCAGCACTCGGGAGGCTGAGGCAGGTGGATCATTGTGAGTTTGAGACCAGTCTGGGCTACAAAGTGAGCTCAAGGCCAGCCTGAACTGCATAACAAGACACTGTCTCAAAAAGACCAAAAAAAAAAAAAGAGAGAGAAATAACTTGTTTGTATAAGACTTGGCACAACTAAAAGATCCGGCCTTGGTAAAGACCAAACTCTTCCAACAACTGTTTCTTTAAAGTGAGTGTTAGGTTTGGTGGGACAGGGGTGGCTGCATGGAAGTACAGTTGCTGAACAAATTAGCAGGTAAGGCTTGCAGAGGAAATTTGGAAGGATAATCACTTAAGTGCTACAGTGAGCATACAAATTACAGTCATAAGCTGCAAAGAATGGGAGAAGGGTGAACAAACAAAAGTATATTTTCTTTAACTTTTAAAATCCTTAACATCTTTTATGACTCTGTGAAGGTCACTGAAACCTTTTTAAGTTATCTTTTACAGAATAGTTAGACATTATTACAGCAAAGAAGTCTACCATTTTATACCATTACTTCACCTCAATATCAGCATTTGAAATGGGAAAATTTGGACCAGACTGTCCACACGGTATTTTACAGCCACATAATCCCAAATTATTAGTGGTATTCTTCCTCTTATGGTTTACGCACAATTAATAAGATGACCAGATTTAATCAACATAGTACAAAGTGCTAGACAACTCCATTTGAAATGTTAACACACAGAAGTAGGATCTGGGGTGTTAAAAATGTTGGACTCTGGTCTTTAACATCAAAACTTAATTCATTCTCCTCTGCATGATTTGCATTCTATTCACATTTGGAAAAGAGTTGTAGATCTGTTTCTGTTCAAGAAACACCCCTCAAAGGCAACTTCATTGCCTTTCTCCCAAGTGCTTATAGCAGTAGCCCCCTTCGCTGTACTGTGTTGCAGCCTTTGATGGATGACATCTCCCACAATAGCATTGAGTTATACACAGGCCCTGTTGGGTTTTAGATCAAAGCCTTGCTAGCCAACAAAACCACTGAAAAAATTTATAACAATCCTTAAACTTGAGTCTGGTTGTTCACCCTAGGTGGTATTCCTAACTTACTGCCACCCAATCCATACCCTTCTGCTATATAAAACATTTTACAACTTAAATTTACTATAAATCATGTAGCTCAGCATTACCTAAAATTCCCTAGGAGTCATCAAAAATAATCCTGAGTTTTATCCACAATCCATTAAATCAGTCTCTAGTAGGAGAGAACTGGGAAATTGTATTTAACAAATGCTCCCAGAGTCTTATTATTAGAAAAAAGTGGAAAATAGTCACAAACCCGACATTATTTTACCGATTAATACAATAAAGAAATCAAATTCTCATGTTTATAGTACCTTCAGTGATTCAGGAAAGTGATTCTTCAATATTTTCTCCAGTGCCAGTAATTTGGAAGAACAGTTCAGCACCAACATCTTCTCCAGAGGTATGCGGTTCGACCCTTAATTAGAAACTTGAATAGGCTGAGGCAGCAGGATTGCAAGAATGATCCTACCCCAAACCCTGTCTCATAAGAAAAAGTCTGTGATGTAGCTCAGTGCAAAGGACCTGGGTTCAATTCCCAGTACCATAAAAGAGAAGAAAAAAGAAATTTGAAGGTATACACGTAATTTTTGCCTTTTAACATTCTTACTTGCTGAGGTTATAGACCTGTTATCATTGCATGTGACTCTGACTACCACTGTTTCCTCTGAAGAGGGAAGCAGGAAGGCAGGGAGGCACTGGGGGAGGTATACTGGAGAACAATTAGAAGCGATGAGTGCTAAAGATCTATTTCTGCACAAATGAGGCTAACTACGCAGCGTAAGTCCATTATACACATTAAAGGTACACTAAACTCATCCTTCAGGATATTTGTCACTGTAATTCTACATTTATTTGTGTTTTCTCTGACTTCAGTCTGTATCAGCTGCATGAAGGTAGGGGCCCTGTTGGCCCTTTGTGCTCCACTGTGCTCCAGAGCACCCAGTACCCGGCCCGGCCCACAGTAAGGACTTTCTCCTAAATTGTTGTGGAATGGATAACGTGAAGCTCAAAACAAAAGTCTTGGGGTAAAGAAATTTCTTTTTCACAACATGAGACAAAGACTGGAGGAAAACTTGAGTGGTTCAAGTGGTTTTAAGGAACAATGGAAAGAAATGCCAATATGAAAGAAAGAATTACACACGGGAAAAGTCTGAGGGTCGTTTAACCAACATAAGTAAGCCTAACTATAAGATATATAACTTCATCTGTTCTTATGCACTTATATCTTCTAGATTTAGGGGCTCCACCTCCCCTGCTTTGTTCTAGAAAAATCTTTCTCCCTAATTTTAATCAGAGTTTGACTGAATTAAAGATTTTAAAAAACATTTTTTTTTCTTATATTCAGGGTAGTAGAGCTTATTCACTTCCATTCTTAGGTACCAGGACGGCAAAGACAATGCATTTAGACATGAGAATATAGTGCTTCAGGGACTGCGGGGAAAGGTAGAATTGTTCTTTCATGACATATTTCCTAGATAAATTTACTTGTTTCACTATGTGGCATACCCATGTAACTGAGAAGCCAGTTTTTGATTGTGACCTAACTAAAATGCAGCGTAGAACTCTATCGTGAGGTTTACATGAACATGAACTTCTAGGAAGCATATGAAGAGCCTTGGGGCTGTAGTTCACTGGCTGGTGGATTTAAGATGTCTAAGTTCCCCACAGGTATCAGAAGGGATATCAACAGCCAGGGCAGCACTAGAAAATCAGAAGACTTTTGTACACAAGTACTAAGAGTCTAGGCTACGGTTACAGAGTTTGAAAAAAGTCAGGTTCCAGATTTTAGGATGAGGAAGGAAGAAACGTAGCCATCATCTCTTTACCCTCCTGTCTGCTTCAATTTTTACTCACTCGTGTCATTTCTCAAAATTTTAACCTTAAAATAGATATTTACTATGATTCAATATCTGCTAAAGACATTTATTACAATTAAAGAATGTTAAAGACATTTATTATAATTCAGTACCTGTCAGTGGAAAATGAAATGATTTCAAAGGGCAGGTGATCGCAGTTCAATGTTTAGAGATTTTTATGCTCCCTAATATTTAACAAAAGAGCTGATGCACAGTAGGAATGATAAGTATTTGTTGATTATTTGCTGACTTATCTAGTTCATTCTTTAAAAGATGTAAACCATTTTTAAAATAGATAAAATATAAAGAAAAATTCATTTTAAATTCAAAATGAAGACAAAGGGAAAAAGAGATAGAAAAAGAATATGGAATTAAGAGTGAAGTTAGCATCCAAAGTATATGGACTACTTTGTATACAGTTGATCTTCCTTACTTATAGATTTCATATCTGAAAACTGAGTTATTAAAATTGATTTTTGACCCACAAATCAATACAATACTGTATATTGGCAGTCACTGTCTTCCTTCGTTTGTTTGTTTGTTTGTTTCTTTCTTTCTTTCTTTCTTTCCTCCTTTTTTGGTACCAGGAATTGAACTCAGGACCCTGCCCTTGCCAGGCAGGCACTTGTGCTACTGAGCTACATCCCCAGCCCACTGGCAGTCATTTTCAAAAGGCACAATGCAGTGAAATACTTTGTCCACACACACATTTCCAGCTAAGGCTGAACAGGGCATGGCATACTCTCCTTTCTTGTTTCAGCACTCATGCTGTCAACAAATGTCCTATTTAGCACCTTTAAAAAAAACATTATCATTATTATTTGTGATCTTGCTGTTCAAAACGGCATAGTGTAAAAGGCTGTGATAATTCAATAGATGGAAAACATATGTGTGAGGTAGATTTTAGTCAGGCATTAGTTGTAATGTTCACCATGACTTCAATGATAACAAATCAACAATATATATCAAATAATGTCCCTTTAAACAAAAACACATAAAACAAAGTTATATATTATCTTCTGATAAAACTAAAGGATTGTAGGAGCTTCCTATTTCCACTAGCAACAATGTTCTAGCATTGGTTAAGCTAGCACGGACTGTGACTTTATTGAACAAAGCTACTGTAATACTAAAACTATATAAATCATGAGAATCAACTATACTTGCAGGAGGTGAGAACCCACACTTCTAAATTTTCTAGTAGCTAACAGAGAAAAAAATCTAATTAATTTCATTGTTTAATGTACCCTATCACTACCCTTATGCTTTTTTCCCTAGCATTTGCTTGCCTGTTCATGAATGCTCTCTCTAAATCTTTTTATTTTCAAATCCTCCTTGATCAAGTGTCAATCTATTTTTCTAGACAAAGTTCTTACAAATCACAAAGTATTCAGGGTGACAAGTTAAAGTCAGAGACAGTGGACACTGTATCTTACAAGTAACTTACGGGTGACATTTAAAATAACTCAGTAAACAGTGAAATTTCAGTTACCTTTTATTAAATACAAAGATTTATTTTATTAAATGCCACAAAACGGAATGTAGAACTTCTCATAAGGAAACATTTCTGAGTTATTCAAAAGGTCATAATGACAACTACTAACTCTGAAAGAAAGATCAATCAGAATGTCATATCCTCAATTACAAGTTCCCCACACATAGCACAGAGGTAAAGCTTTGTAACTCCTTCATCCAAATTAACAACAGACTCCTTTGCCAAGGAAAATAACTGTACTGATACGTTTTAGGAACTTAAATTTTTTTTGAATGTTTGAGGATTTATCAGTAAACTTAAAATATTTTATTAATATTAATCATGCAATGACAGCCTGTGTCTCTCTTGAGAAATTTTTAATTCTTATAAACAAAACACAAGATCTGTTTTTATAGTATAATATACCATTTAAAATACAATGGTGGAAATTTTTTAATGAGGAAAGAAAAGTTTCTCTGTAAGCACTTGCAATCCAATGCTAGTAATTATTTTTTGTATTATAGGCTTTTTGTTTAGAGATGACTCTTCTTTGTTGCTCTAGTTGTGCCCATGTCACAATGCAAATGATTTCTGTTCTTCATATCAAAAATTTAAAAAGAAAATCAAAAATACATCAAAAAACAAAAATACATCCTTTTCTCTAAACCTAATTATGATTTATGATTTCTACACCAAATGAATTTCATGTCTTTTCTATTTCCTATGAAAAATATATACTAATCAAATTACAGACTGATGATTTGGAATTTATTATTGTAATGAAAAATACTTACCTGTTGTTGAGTTCGGCTGGAAACTGAGATCTTCTAGCTGTTTATCAGTGTAGTAGCTCCTTCTGTGTAAATAGTAAATTTATACTTCTAGGTACTTCCCTAATTAATCTGCTGTGCAAAGAGGAGAGAGAAAAACAGTGTCCACACCTACAAAAGGGGTGGAGTCTATGATTTCTGAAAGTCATCTGAAATACAGCATAGATTTTTTTCATTTCACCTTTTCCTTTCTATACTATTTAGTCTTATGGTGTAAAATCTAGTGAATAGTAATTTTGATGTGGAGATGGTCATCTTTTAGACATAAAACCTATATTCATCAGGGTATCATGCAAGGGGATACAAAAGGAATGGGACGCAGGCAAACAGGATACAATAAGAAAATGCTGTTGAACTACTGATCTCTTACATATTTTTTACATATTCTGAAGAAAATTGATTTTGCTACCCTAAACTTCCAAGGCTGAAAAGGCTCTAAGGAGCATGTTTATGGAATTGAGAGTAATTTTGAGAATATTAATTCCTTTACCCAATTCTTTTGAAAAATTATTCAGTTATCTTCCATGAAATGGCTGCAGTTTCACCATGTATTTATGTGGGTGTCCTGGCACACAGCACAACACCTGAGTCTTGCAGTATTAAGCCCTACAAATGTCTTAACGGCATATACAGAGTGCTTCATTTTGAATGTGACCTCATGGGAGGATGCTGTTTACCATCTTTGTTTTATAAAATGGTAAGTGAGGACTTCCTTTAGTAGAAAACACAGGGCTAAGTAATACAACAGGCAGTTGAAGGTTAAAAAAAGTGACTGGAAAAATTATTTTAGATGTCAACTACTATGTGTCAAAAGTTTTTCATCCTGATACACTTTTTTTCATCCTGATACACATCCTGATACATTTTTTAAAAAGATGTTACAAAGGGCAACATATACTTATCTGCAGCTCTATGGATCTAATCTGAGCAACTACTTTAAAGATAATAATATGCAATGTAATAACCATTGCTAATTTCCTATCATCTTGTTTTGAAATTCTGTATCACTTTTATTGTTTTCTCTTTTAAATAAAAAATATATATAAATTGAGAAAAAGACTTTAGAAAGTGAACAGAAGCTCTTTTAGAGGATAAGTACAGTATCTTTGTGAAAATTCAACAAAAATCAGCGTTCAAGTTATTTATGGAGTGAGAAAGATTAAGATCTCTCCAAATTTAGATCACACCTTGTTTCCAAGTGCATACAAAAAAAACTTCTACCCTTTTTCAAAGTTCTTTATTTTCTATAAAGCATCAGAACTAATTGAAAGGGTTGCTTTTTGCCTGAGGGAAAATAATCAAAAAGGCAAAACATACTTTCTCAGGAAAACTGCATTGGTTGAAAGTAGTTAAATTTGAGATGTATCTCCCGGGCAAAAATGAATTTATGACTCTGAAATTAAAAGGAAACAAAAAGGGAGGGGTGGTAACACGGTTGTCAATGTTGGATAAATGTAAAGGGATTTTCTTTGGTAAATTCAAGCGAACAAATCCATAATGTGGTATCTTTATACGCAGAAAAATACATGCATTTGCACTTTGTTGTAACAGGATTTGCTCATTAAATTCAATAGCCTCTTCTATCCATAGCTTAACAGAAAATTTCTAAGTCAAAGTGTTTATTTTTTTCACTTCCTAGTTCTATCACTATTTGAGTGGTGTTAAGACAGGTAAGAAACTGTGCCTCAGTTTTTTCAGCTGCTGGATGTGAGATAAGGATTATTATAAGGTCTAGTCCCCATGGGTTGTTGTTAAGACTAAACATTGGTATAAATACATGTATGCACGTAACGGGCTTACAACAGTGCCTGACATAAAGCCAGCACACAATCAATGCCAGCCATTTTTATCTTTGTTATTATTATCATGTAGCCCTCTTGCCCCATTTGAAAACGTGCATTAATTTTAACAACTTCCTAAGGAGTGGCAATGGGGTGCACTAGGCTAAGATACATTTGTTTCTATTAGTATAAAAATGAGTAGCTGTTTAAAACTGTATTCTATAATGCTTTTATTGAGTTTAGAAAATGTCTTCCTTCACCTTTCTCTGTCTAAGTTTAACACTGTGATCAATCTTTGCTGTCTTTGGTACAGCAAATCCACAGCCCTGTAACAAGCAGAGGCCACTTTAATGAGGACACCAAACACCTAAGCCCACAAAGCGTGGTTCTATGGGGGTTTAGTAGGGAAGAAATACATTCAATAGCAGTAACTCTTAAGATAAAAATAGAACACAAAAAATGGCATAGTCGTTTTAGAGACGCTAAACACAACAGAGAAATACGAGTTTCTCGCTGCTTTTGCTTTCCTTCCTTTTCTCAGAGCTGAATATTTCTTGACAATGATGAAACATGAGAGGATTTAGAGGTGCTTAGATGGTAAGCCATGAACAATTCAAACACTAATTTTGACAGGTGCAACTGCATGTTTTTGGTAAACATAGAATGCCAAGAAATTCTATCTGACCAAATAAAAGAAAGTAAATCCCTTAATTTTAGCTTTCAGTGCAGGTGTCTCATATTAAACAAAGTCTATTTGTTAAAGATAGACCAACTGAGAGGACAATGGAAGGACTCAGATAAAAAAAAGTGTAAATGACCGGCATTATCCTAAGGTCTACAACATATCTATACAGCCTCTCAAAAAAGTTGTACCAAATTATGTTCCTTCAGATTTAATGGGTGCCCATTTTCTCAGTTCAGTGATCTTCTCTCGAGCTTTCAAAAAAAAATCTTTGCCAATCTGATAAGTAAAAACATTTTATTGTTTTACTGCATTTAAATGATTATAAGGTCGAACACCTTTCAAATACCTATTATTTATGTATTTTCTTACCAGGTATTTAAACTGTTGGTGATATCTTAGAACTCTTTATTGCTTTATATATGTATTTTCTGCTGTTTTTGACTTGTTCTTTTAAAATCTTGTTTCAAAAAGTTTAAAGTTGTATATTTTTTTTTAATAATTTTTTAGTTTTATTTTTGCTTAAATGAATGTAGCAGTTTTGCTACACTGAAATCTGTCAAGTTCGTTTATAATTTCCTTTAGTTCTTGCTATCTACATAAAATTTGCGCATAAAGTAGGACTATTAACTATCCCCTTGCCCTAACAGTGAAATTAACCAGTTTTCTCAAGACTATTTATTGAAGGATATTTTTCTGCATTTCATTTGGAATATTATCTTTATCATATGCTATATTTTTATACATTATACCCTTCATACCAAAACATGTTTTTAGAATTTCAAATTTCTGGCATGGGCACTTGGTCACTAATGAAAGGGCTGCATCATCATTGGCTTGACCATATGGGAGAAGGGTGGGTAAGGACACTACAAATTAGAGCTGCTATCACAGTAATTGGGGCACCTGAATTTTACCTAAACCTGTAATTAATTCTTTATATAGTGCGTATATCAAACATGAAGCCTTTAAGAAAAATATTGTTATGTTTGGGATTGTTACTAAGTGTCAGAAATGCTACAAATCTTTTAAAATTAATGTAGGTGCTTTTTAAAGTTCCACAAAGCAAGTATGGCTAGTTCATGCATGATGGACAACTATCAGCAACAATGCTGTAATTCTAATTCACTCTGAATAATCTATTAAACACACATTCTGAGAAAAACAGTATTTAAGGTAACTTCTCCCCTGAGCAAGAGCAGTGTTACGATTAATGTTAAAAATCAATGACTGGGGGCTCTGTATCTGTCAGTGCTTAATAGAGAAACAGTTTTAATGTAAGATATACACGTGTAAGAATTTACAAGATTGGTTTACAATGGCTGCCCGCAGACAGGTATGGAAAAGTGCAAAGGGGTGTCTGTGTGCTGGAGATCCAAAGGATCCAGTCAAGAGCCTATAGCTCACTGCAGTGTATGGTACAAGTAGGAATCAGGAGTCTGAATAGTCTGTGCTAGAAGGGTTAAGAGGCTGTGCTGGAAGCCAGGTGACGGTGTCAAAGGGGAAGGTGAAGACTAGAGCTCCTCTGAACAAGAGAGCCTTCCTTCCTCGTTTTCCCTTTCATACCATTCAGGAAGCGAGCCTATTGGTTGCCGTCACTCACACCCAGTAAATCTAGGCAAGTCTTCAGTAAATCCTTTTAGCTACCCCCAGAACTATGCTGATACAATTTAGTTGGGCAATTCTTACTCAGACTGACACAATCAGTTAACTAGCACAGGTTCTGTTAGTCAGTATGAGACTTTAAATTTCCAGTGAAGAGTTTTTAAAGATATTTTGTAGAATATTTTGTTATTTTTATCTCTTTGCTATAATTCCTGTCTTGAAATCTCTTTCCCATTAAAACCCATTACTGGTCTTTCTTACCATTGTTTCCTAAGAGGATATTGCTTTTGATGCTTTTACTGAGCTGTCCTAGGATCCCCAGGGCATGTGGTTTTCCTAATTACAGTAAGCATAAACTCACTCTGCTCAACCACAGGTGTGTTCCTATTAGTCTCTGCCTGGAGAACATTAACACAATTATGGCAACTTTTCTTTTTTTTGAGATAAGGTCTCTCGCTATGTAGCTCAGGCTGGCCTTGAACTCGGTGATCTTTCTGCCTCAGCCTCTCAAGTGCTGAGATTACAGGTGTGTGCCATCATTCCTGGCCCAGTAACTTCTAAATAAACTGACAAAAAGTTTAGGTTAGACACAAAAATAAACTGCAATTATTTTATTTTACAAATAGTTGCTTAGAAATGATTTTTTATATATTTAAGTAATAATTTATTTATATATAAAAGCTTATTATCATACCTTCTAATTGGCTATGGGCCACCTCTGTCTGGTTTAGCATATAATCCCCTTTTTCCTGCTGCTGAAATCTGGGGTGCAAGAATCTGCTTGTTTTGCTGCTGTCTGAGGCATACTTCTGGGTCTAGTAAACTGCATTCTGGTAATCCTAAAGGTCTGCCTTCTTCTTTGGTCTCTCAGTACCCCATACCTTTGGTGGCTGGTTCTCATGCACTGGGTTTTTTCAAAACAGTTTTTCAGCTGGTTTTGTTTTAAGGGAATACATGTGCTTAGGCTCCTTCTTAGTAATGTTCTTAAGAGTAGGCTTTGACAACAGTAGAAAATAAGTATTTAAAACAAAAGAAAAAAATTTAAAGCCACCTTCAAAGTTGAAGGTATCTGGAGAATCTTAACTACTGACCAAGAAGATTAGGGAGTCAGGGTAGAGGCACTTGGGGATTTCTAAAGTTCCCTGTAACCAGATAGAAAATGCAAGCTCTTAGCTAAAGAGTGAGTGATGGCAAACACTTATGTTTTATTCTTTAAGCACTAAATGTAAGCACTTCACATATACAGTACCACAGCATCACAACTCCTCTGTGCCAACCGACAGAGGAACCTCTTTTAGCCGCCATAAACTATCAGATCATGGCTGTTCCTGCTTTATGTCTCAGGCAAATAACTGCAGTACAGCGATATAAACAATGATCTTCTAGGTTTCTTAACTGCTAAAAACAGTTGTCAGGACTACACCAGATGCTAACGATAGGTCTTCACAGGCCAATTTTAAAGTGCATATTAGAGGACAATAAATCCTGCAGAAGCTTCAGCCTCTTTAACATCATAGGTTAACAGTTTTACAATTTATAAACATTAAATTAATAGGAAACAATATTGAAAAATGCCCTAAGAGGCACTTAGTTTCTCATAGGCTTCTTCGATGAACACTGCCAAGTTCTTCATCTGGGATGAATTATGAAGAACATCCAAGTCTTTTAGAAGAACATTCTGGTTGGGAATTAGCATCAGAATTTCTTTCTGTGGGTAAGATTATGTCATTAGTTTTTAATATTTTATTATGAAAAATGTCAAATGTCTGATACTTAGAGAGAACAGTATAACAAGTACCCATCACCCAAGTTCACTAATTATCAATAGTTATTCCTCTTTCAAGGCTATCTTTCCCTCTCTCCGTTGGAGCATTACCGATGGGAAAATTTTAAATTACTTTCTGAGAAAACATGAAGACATTCCACTGCTATAAACATTTATACTATGGTATTTATTGCGGTCCTCTGAAGAAAGATAAATTACTCGCTATACTTTATTACAGTGAGTAGTACTACAAAGATAAATTACTCACTATAGTTTACCACAAATATGATAATGCTTTATAAAGAATTATGCACTGTTAGAAGCATAAACAAAATCAATTGTCAAAATTTTCTTGCAGAAATGTATCCTACAGTTATGACTACGTAGATATATTAATATATGTACACATGTGTATGTGTATGTCCCCCTAGGATTTTTTCTGCCCGCCCCCCAGACATCTGTAATACATTTATTTATATCCACTAGTAATTTACAAATTGTATTATGGCACATCCATACAAAGGAATGTAATATAACTACTGACAAGGATGAGAGATCTACATGAACCGACAAAGAAAGATATTCAACTTATATAGTCAAATGAGAAAAGGAATCAACAGCTTATATTAGAATTAGAGTGGTTTAAAGAAGTAGGGTATGATTTATATATATTACTTTATAACAGGTGATGCAATCAGTATGGTAGATAGGTACTTGCCTGCAGTGTGGGTGTTTTCAGGCTGTTCTGAGAAAGCTCTGGGAGAGAAAGTATGCTACGTCCATCCATCTGGAGCATCTAAAGAGAAACAAACCTAGAGATTATTTCAAAAGGTTGATTTTGCTGATCTTGTATTTGAAAACTGTTTCATTAAAATTTAAGCATTAAAAAATATCCAAATTCTGGAAGGGGTAAGGAGGGAGAAGGGGAAGGGGACATAAAAGAATTAAGATGTGTTATGCACCAACTTGCAATAGATGTAATTATTATGTACTACAAACATGTATTAATAAAATTTTTAAAGTTACATCCAAATTCTAGCAATACACTTTTAAACAATTACCTCTTTTGCCTTTTCCTCCTCTTCCTCTATCTCATGTTCCAGAATTTCAATTTTGCTTTTTAGACTTTGAATATTCCCAGTCACTGACTCTGCAGTCTGTACTATTTTATCTATTTCTTCCTAAATCAGAAAGAAAATACAAAATTTTAAATATATAATATGATATTAAACCCTAATAGATTTATTTATAAAACACTTTGTGTACTAAAAACTTTTGAAAGAAAATACTGATTTTTGTTTTTCTTTCAAAAGTCAGACTTCTTAGAAAACTGCCTTGCCAACTAATAATGCATTATAAGGAAACTAATAGCAGATTAAGGAGAACCTTCCCTTAAAAGCTCACCAAAGTTGCTAGTATCAGGTATCCTGGGAGACCCAAGTGTGAGTCTTGCAGAGCCCGGTACTGATGACAGCAAGTACAGCAGCCATCCTTCAGTGGCACAGAGCTTCATGTACCAAAGAAACCCTAACGTAATTTCATATAGATAGGAACATTTATTGTCTTTTTTAATTTGCCAAAATTAAATGCTGGGCATTAGGACTGGAATACTCTAAAAAGCAGGAATGACAGTATCTCACAAAAAATGAATTTACAATATACAGGAGAAGATAAAAAGAAAATGAGAAATTAATGAAATGAATATGAAAATATTAGGGATGTCTTGGGTTGCAGGCCAAGTATAGAATTAGTTAGCATCCAGGTTTCTAAGAGATATGAGACATTGCATGGCTTTCAAATCTAGTCCTAGCAATGCTGGTGGGACCAATGCCACTGAGGATTAGGGACCAAGTGAATAAATCACACAGAAAAGATACACAAAGAACTACTCAATCTTGTTCATCAATATGGTCAATGCTACTTCCACAACACTCTCCAAATGCTGCAAGTAGAACCACTGGTGGCATCTACAGCAGTCCTCTCTTCAAGAAATGTAATACGGTTTCTACATGACAGTTGTTTTGAAAGAGTACCAGCAGGGGCCAGCAACTGCCTATGGGTTGTTTTTGTACAATACAAGAACTATGAATGGCTTTTACATTTTTAAAGGATGGTTAAAAACCAAAACAAAACCATATGCAGATATCTACTAATTAAAAGCTTCAGGTTAATCATGACAGCTAGTGTTATACCCTATCAGGATGCAACAGAATCATGCTCTAAAGTTAGACTGATCAGGTTAGCTTCTCAATGTTCAGCAGTTTGTCTAAGGTTAGAAATAGTAGCATGTATCTTTTTTCACATTTGTAAAATAAGGATATTACAGTTAGACTCTTTAAGTCATTGTGAAGATTAAAGGATATAAAGTGCTTAGACAGAAAGCCCTTAATGCACATTAGCTGCAGTAACAGTAAAAACATGGACAACGATTGTCTCTTCTTACTATACACAGGACAGAACTAAAGTTTTGAAATTCCACAGCATTTAGTGATATTAAAAATATTGACAGTTCAGCTAAAATAATCTGATGAAATAAATAAGATTGCTATTTCACCATCAATATATTAGAAGCCCATCAACTTTAAAGGCTCAAAGTTTGGGCAGTTTTTGCTTTGATTAACAACAGCATAAAAATCTAATGAAAAACCTTGTTCAAGATCTAGTATTTATCACTTGAAGAAGATCACAATTTAAGAAACTTTTTAGTCTCCTCGCGCCCAACTTTCTAGGGATTCCTTGTTCAAGTTTCTTTCTTTTTTTTTTTTTAATTTTAAAGAGAATAGTAAAAAAAAAAAAAAAAGAACAATAGCAAAATACAAACAAACCAAAGCAAGGACATTTGGTTTGAAACCGCATATCATTTTTAATGTCCTTGCTTTGTTTTGTTTGTATCCTTGTTCAAGCTTCACACCTGCAGTAGCGCCAGTCCTTCTTCATTAGCTCTGGCCTGTGCTCTTTCCATTTTCAGCAGACTTGACACATTAGTTAAATATTTCAGCTTTTCGGGAGGCGCTTTCAGGGTTTCAAATAGTTGCAGCAACCTTAGGAACAGAAACAAACAAGATTATTTTGTTCTGAAACTGTCAGTGAGGCATTGGTTGATTAGCTTTGTATGTCTATATGTGTTTTCATGAGAAACTACATTGAATATATCAATATGTAATACAATAAGCATTGTTAATTCCCTACCACTCTGTTTGTAACTCTGTAATGTCTGTACTGATCCTTTGCTATTTTATAAAACGTTGTCGATCTGTTAGTATTTTCCTCCTTTTATTTCTAAAATAAAAAATAAAAATAAAAAATAAAAAGATTATTTTGTTCATTTTTTTTATTATCAATAGTATTACTTTCGAAAAAGTTCTCCCCCCTCCCCTCAACAGTGGCTAACTATAGTAGTTGGAGCCCCTCCTAAAAAGCCCTAATAAATCATCACTTCATCTCTCAATTTTTTACTTCAAATCACAAGGCTGATGCTGTTTACTAAAACAATGTGCTCTATTTTACAATGTAACAATTTACTTATTTATATACATTTTAAAATTAAAATTTCTGTGTATCATCTAAATATGTGTCCCAGACTAATACAGCACATAAGTCTATCACTTGTGGATCATTAGCCAAGAGACAGAACACTAGACTGGGAGTCTTAAATGTAACTCTAAACCATAAAGAATGCAACCAATAAAAACGAATTTCTACACTAATTAATCTAAATGTTTTCCAAGAATACCAAGTTCCCAGAAGTTGAAGGAACTACAATACTAACAGTAAAATGGTTTGCTTTAAAGTAGTAGCAACATAAATGGTATTCAATATTCAAATTAAAAAATCCTCCTACAAATACAGTTGATTAGATCATTACTACAAACGGATCTTTTTTTACCCTCATATCTCCAAGAGCAACAGATTTCTGAGATTTGACTCTTAAATTCTATTAGGACAAAATCAAGGAGGAAAAAGTAAGTTTGATTGCTTCTACTTGATAGCAGCATTTCTGTGTTCTAAAAATTCTACTATAAGTCAAACATTCCTAATGCAAAAAAAATCCAAAGTACTCCAAAATTTGAAACTCTTTGGGTGCTAACATGACACAAGTAGAAAAACCAAAATCATAAAACTTTGACTCATGTACAGTTATTAAAACTATTATATAACATTAAGTCAGACTATGTGTGTAAGGTATGTATGTTGCATAAATAAATTTTATGTCTAGATTTGAGTCCCATTTCTAAGCTTACTCATTATATATATGCAAATACCTGCCCCTCACTTCAATCTCAAATCCCAATCCCTCCTGGCCCCAAGCATTTCAGATATAGATACTCAATGAATACTTAAGATTTAAAAGAATTAAAACAATACTGGGCCCAAGATTTATCTTTCTTGGATCATGTTCAAAATCTTAATTTTATGTGGAAAAAAAAAAAGTAGTACAAACCCTACAAATCATAATTCTCATTAAACTGTGAAGTCAAACTTCAATTATCCAGAAAAATCACCATTAGTCTATCATAGTAAGCACGAACAACCTGTTTGCATAAAGCTTCCTAAGAAGGATAAGTTTTAATTTTTTTAAGTAAAGATTCTAGGGCTGGTGATGTAGCTCAGCAGTACAGTACTTACCTGGCGTATGCAAAGCCCTGAGTAATGTAAGGCCCTGAGTTCAATCCTGAAATTCTACTTTAGTATTCATTAACTCAATTATGTGTAAGAGCCATTTACTGTTCCAAATGTTCTAAATAATCATTAGATTTCCAAGAGTCTCGCAAACTCTATCAAAGATGTGCCTTGAGTATATACTGCTATACTCCATACCAATGCTTAATCACCATTTGTTCCTAAAGCTGTAGGGGCTGAGAGTTTCCAGCAACCTTGTCCATCTGGTCATTGGGGTAGGCGTATGACTCGGTTTTTATTAATCATGCTCATGGGAGAAAGCTTTTGCCACAAAAACCAGTGCAAGGATGGGCACATCACCTACACTGGCCCAATCAGAGACCATCTCCCATAATTTTCCACCTAAAGCTAAGGGGTTAAGAGTCTTCTTTATTCTTTACAAGATTAAAGAGGTATGTATTAATAGGGAGCTGCCTATGTTTACAGTTTTTATTTAGTGTGAACTGATAACAACAAAAAAACCCTAAAAGAATGCTGCCAATATGCAGAGAGAAGCACAGCTAACACTAAAATATGAAAGTTCCTGGGGTTTGGGATGCTAGGTTAAACAAAATGAAATATTTATTTATTGTAGGGCTTTTTATATGCAAAGAACCCAAATATAATTCACTGTAGATTACTTTGTATCACAGAATAAGTGTTTCAAATGTATTTTGAGAAAAATTCCTATAGAAAAATGTATTCAAGTTTCCAATTATGATATAATGGGTCCTAATGCACTCTACTGTATGAGTAGAAATAACAGTATCTTCAGTGTGATTACTTCTGTGATCAAAGTGTGTTGTAAAGGTAAAAATAAGAACAAACAGGTAGCCCTGGAATCTGTATCTCCACAGCTGCTACATGATGAAGAAAAGAGTCACCTATTGCATACTATTTATTCTTTCCTGATGTCTGAAGGTAATCAATATGACAGCAACTATTATGGACTATAATACTCTCATGCACACAGTAAACATGATTACTTGTTCTATGTGAAAAAGAGCTTGGGCTGGGGTGGTGGAACACACCCATAATCCCAATCTCTGGGAGGCTGAGGCAGGAGTTAAGTAAGCCTATCCAATTTAGTGACATTAGAAAGACTTCACCTCGAAATAAAAAATATTAAAAGGGTTAGAGATGCAGCTCGGTATGAAGACTCTGAGCTAAATCTGCAGTAAGCAATAAAAACAAACAAACAAACAAACCTGAATAGCTAGTTTTATTTGTATTAACATTACAAAGTTCAAGACGCCAAGGACATGGAATATCTATGGAGAAAAGTCATTCTTTAACATTAGGCTATTATAGATTTGTAAGAATTTTGCAAGCCTGCTTCTAGTAGTCCTCCTTTAGTCTGTACAACCTTCCTCAACACACTCCTGTCCTGACCCACTATTATGGTTTTGATTTTAAATGTCCCCCAAAGACCATATACTAAAGATTTGGTCCTCAGGCTAACAGCCCTGTTGGAAGGTGGTAGAAACATTGGAAAGTGGGAGAGAGCAGGTCAGAAGAGAGTGCAGGGCCACCCTGCTTATCAGGACCCCTTCTTGTACAGGACCACCCTGTTTGTATAGGACCACCCACAAATCTTGGGGCCAAAACTGTTACCCCAAGATTTGTTTCACTATGTTCAGCACCCAGGCATTCAGAAGCTCCACAGCTGCTATAGGTCTCAGGGAACCTGGCTATTGCTGAAGCTGATGGTACATCTTGGTGCTGTTCATCTAATGCTGGTTTTGGAGGCAGGAAGAATCCAAGAGTTATGGGGTCACTGAGGCTTCCACCCCAATTTCAAAGGAAGGCCTGAAAGCCCAGGCAGTGTGTGGTAGGGCTATAATCCCTCTTTGTTTCCCTTAAACTTTATTTTTAACAATTTGAGGTTAACAGTTCACTACCCTTAACCAATATGATGTTAATCCTATTTTGGACAGGCAGCCTCTGAGAAAGGGATGCATGAAACTGGGAGAAAAACACCAAAGCTATAATGCAGACCCCATGAAGTTAGAAACACCAAGAACACGGAACATCTATGGAGAAAAGTCATAAGCAATGAGTAGTCATAAGCAATGGGTCGTAAGCAAGCCCAAGAAGCGGCCATGTGGACTGCAGCCAGCAAGGCTACAGGGGTGCCTAAACCCTTTGGGGCCCACATAATGCCACCATACAGACTGGATGCCAGACACAAAGCTACAAGATTTAATGTTTCCCCTGCTAGATTTTGTTCTTGCTCTGGCCCAATTCTTTCTTGTTATGCTCCTATGCCTTACTTCTGGAATGGCAATGTTTACTCTGTGCTATTTTATGTTGGACGTATGTAACTAGGTTTTCGATTTCTTTGTTTTCCTTTCTTTTTCTTGTCTTTTTGAAACAGGGTCTCGCTATGCACTTCAGGCTATCCTTGAGCTCACTTTGGAGCCCAGCCTGGTCTCGAACGTGCACTGATCGTCCTGCCTCAGCCTCCCAAGTGCTGGGATTTACACGAGTACACTACCATGCCCAGCTAGTTTTTTGATTTCTTATATAGGCTCTCCGTTAAGTTTCTCTTGGATCTCAGAGGTGACTTGGAATTGAACTACTCAGCAATGCTGCAACTGTTTTTTTGTTTGTTCGTTTTTTTTAAGCCAGGGTCTCACTAGGTAGTGCAGGCTGGCCTCAAGCTCACAGTGATCCTCCTGCCTTAGCCTCCCAAGTGCTGGGATTACAGACATGCGCCACCACATCTCATTGCTGGAACCACTGAGAGTTTGGAAATAGACTGAATGCATTTTTTTATTGTGAGACGGACATGAGTCTTTGGGGGACAGGGGCAAATTGTTATTGTTTGACTTTTAAATGTTCCCCAAAGACTTAAGTCCCCAGATGATGGCACTAATGAGGTGACAGAAACATTGGACACAGGGGCCAGCTGGAGGAAGTAGGTCCTTCAGGCCAAATCCTTTAGGGCCATATCTTGTCCCCAAGCCTTGCTCTTTGCTTCCTAGCTATCACAAGGTAAGCAGCTTTATTCCACCACATGTTTGTGTCATGACAGACCGCCTCACTCTACGGCCAGAGGTCAAGTGGGTCTTGGACTAAAACTTCTCAAACCTCCTTTAGGTCTGGGCCAAGTGGTCTTGGATTAAAACTTCTCAAATCTCCTTTAGGTTGATTTTCTCAGGTATTCTGTCACAACAATGGAGATCTAGCACACCCACCTGTCCCATCCCTCCCTATACTGCTACTAAGGTTAAGAATAATGCTTAAAGAAAAAGTAAACCGAATTTGTGCTCAAATGACTTCCCAGAAATACAGTACTGGGTCATAAACATTTCTAGGCAAACCCAAAACTGAGAGGTAAAACATTCTTTTATGAAAGGAAAATGTTACGTAAATACTAGAAAAACTGGGCATTAAAAATCATGGGCTTTGCTGTGGCTCTAAAAAGCATTTGAAAAGAAACATCCATTAGTGAGTTGCCATGAGATGAACAACAGTAGTACCTTGGAAAATTACACGGCTGCTTGTGCAAATAATGCAATACAAATATGACGAAAGAAAAGCACAAAAATAGGATAAATATCACATTAGTTAAGGGTAGTGAACTGTTAATTTCAACTTGTTAAAAACAAAGTTTAAGGGAAATAAAGTTGAAAATATTTTTGAAATACCAACACTGAATAGTGATTTTCAGATTCTTTTGTGCAAACTCTGACACGTGGGCTATTTCAGTGATACACACAGCAGCAGTTTGGAGAAGAAACAATACATATAAGTTATTCACTTAGAAACAATAATATTTATCTTACACAAACATCTATTTTGGCAAAAAAGGAACAATCAGATTTTAAAAAGAATGATGTTTTAATCATTTTCAATTATATAACTATCTTACCTTTTCTTCAGGCAGTTGAGATGATTCTGAATTTGTTCTTTTTCTTTAGTATTACTCAAAATTGCTCTAAAAAAGAAATTGAGTAAGTATTAGCTTAAAACATGTTACATAATTTGTGTACTTTTTCTTTCTGAATTCTCTCAGGTGTTCTTCCTAGCCAGGTAGACAGAGTTAACTACTTTCCCTTCTATATGAAATGTATTTTAAATAGCAGCACAATAAAAATATTTTAAGATCACATGGATCTGCTGATGGAGTTCAGCTCTAAAACAGCATTCTACCCTTTTTTCTTTATATATCATATAGCATGATAGTTTCCATATTAAGAGTAACTCTGGACTCAATTCTTCCAAAAAAATCCTTACTGACAAGACAAATTAAAATTTTTATACATGGCTGATCTGGCCATAAAGATTTTAGTTCACTGATAGAATCCCATATTTCTAAAATTAAAAGATTTTTTGTTGAAGACTAATGCTATCACAAAACATTAAATATATCTTCTTCTGGAGAAATTTTGTATGTATGTATATACAGGACAGTTAACATAGTTGATCTACTGTCTTCTATTTCTTTGCTGAAAGAAAGTGTTAATGAGTCCTTGATTGATCAATATTACATGTCTCTATTTGTTTTCATGAGAAACCACTTTGAGGATATCAATATGTAATATGATAAGCATTGTTAATTTCCTACCACTTTGTTTGTAACTCTGTATTGTTTGTACTGTTCTTTTGCTATTTTGTAAAAGGTTGTCTGTCTGTTGTCTTCCTCTTTTTATTTTTAAAATAAAATAATATGTATCTTCTTTCTGAAATAGAAAAACTTCTCAAAACATATAGTAATATTTACAGAAATGCCTGTAGGAAACACAATAAATAGGAACCAAAGGATGAAAAAGAAAAATTTTATACTTACATTATCACCGCTTCCATCATAGTTTTCAAATGTTCCTGCATATTCTTTGAAAGAGGTTGCCAGCTTTTTCTCTTGTTGGATGCTATCTTTATGCGTTTTAGATTAGTATGATTTGTTTGTCCTGTTATTGGTGATAGAAGATACTGTGCTTAGTTCAGAAATTTGCATGTTTTTACTTAAAAAGTGGTTTCTTTAATCTAAAAAGTTAATAAAATTATAAAAACAAAATACTAGCAAAGGTTTATAAACTTTTTAATTCATTTGTTATTGCAGAGCTCTAACATGCTAGGTGTTGAATATGAATTTGCTGCTCACCATTATGTTAAGTGAAACAGTACAGACACTGCAATACAAGCTGCGAACAATTTTAGATGAAGAGCCAACCTATAATTATTCAAAGTTTTAGCTGGGAAATGACTTGAACTCCTCAACAGCTTTATAGAGAAGACTGCAATACTGTTTCTACCAAATATTAGATGGCAAGTGGAAAAAAGGCAGACTAATCAAAGCACAAAAACAGACACTCAACATCAGCTATGCTGTGTGTTGTTCTACTCATAAAAAAAAGAGATATATTACTGACTCTTTGAAGGACAGTTTTGGAGAGAAGGGAATTACACATGTACACAGCATTACAAAATAAAGAAGTACTGTATGGAAGTATAAAAACAAAGCCTAGCCTTGGGTGAGCAGAGGTAGGGAATCTTCCCACGAGTAAGTGATGTTTAAGAAAACATGACTACTCCAAATTAATTTAGTCCAAACAGTCTTAGGTAGTGGTTCCAAATTAATCTGCACACAGATAGCACATTGTCTTGAAGGAAAGTACGTAGGTTTCTCTTTACATAATAATTTAGACTGTGAAACACTTTCATTTTCTCTAGTTCCTATCAAGTTAGTAGCATAGAAGACTTCGCCATATTTTGCTAAAAGTACTAAATAAAATTTTAGTTGAAAAATAATAACTGTATCTTTTGAAAATGTGAATGTGGGTATTTAACACTATTTTGTGCAGAACTCATAAAAACAGATGCTGAAAAACTTTTCATGAATATATCTTAAGAAAGATACATACTAGACAAGACATAGAAAAGAAATACCTTCAGAAGATATATGCTTTGGATGGTTTTTACTTCTTTTTATTGTGCTTCTAACCTAAAGGAAAAAACACACACACAGAGAGGGAACTAAGCATCACATAAAATGTATCACTTTTGCAACAGCTTTGTCATGTATTTCAAAGAGTATTCATATACCTTCTGGTAGATAGAAAAATATTATATTGCTACATCTACACAAAATGGTGTATATTTATCACAGGCAGAAAGTATACTAAACTAATTCTTAGATGAGAGTGATACAATTTTATACAGTGTCAAACAGTTCTTTAAATAAATCAATATTCACTTTGCCCATGAAGTAGTGTTATATATTTTACCTACAAAACAAACACAAGCAAAAAGAAAAAAGTTTGGATTAGTTTATTTACTCTTTTGAGGCAAGGAAAAATTAAGGTAAGAATTAATTCTTCCCAAACTATTTTATTTTGTTATTAGAAATCTCCTCTACCAACTGACAGACTCTTCTAACAGATAAATGTGATACAAATTTGTACATTTAATTCCTGACTTTTCATTTAACAGTTTAGCATGCCCTATGACCTCCTCCTCCTCCTCAAAGAAATTTATGATCAATTCTTCGTTTTAGAAATTGAAGTAAACAATTTTTATCTGGGAACTTTAGAAGTCATGTTACAGAAATCTCATACTATAATATGAATTCTATAGTTTATAGTAAAACTGACCCTTGGTCTTCATATACTTCTATGTAATAAACACATGATATTTCTAACTAAGCACTCTAAGTGAAAGATTTGATATTTTCATTACCTCTTTCTCTGACAACTCCACTTCATCAATTTTTCTTTTTGAATTTGTTTTTAATTGTTGAGACTTTTTCTTGAAAGCATCTGCTTCGTTAGGCATCTTGAGCTAAATAGTACAATTATGATGCTTTTAAACAAACTCTGTAAAGATGAACACAGAAAAATGATAAAAACCTCTTACAATGTTTTGTTAAAAAGACTACCTGTAATTGCTCCAAACTCTCTTTTTTAAAAAACTGCAATAAGTGAAAGTTTGGGGATAGTATAATACATTTTAAAAACATTTTAACTTTTTTTTTTTTTTTTTTTTTTTTAAATGAGATAAGGTCTCACTATGTGGTCTAGGCTTGCATTCAACTCACTATGGAGCCCAGGCTGGCCTCAAACTCTTGGCAGTCTTCCTGCCTCAGCCTCTCAAGTGCTGAGACTACAGGAGTGTTCAATCAGCCCTGGCAACATTTTAACATATTTTAAAACAAATTAACTTCGGTTCTCTGCTCAGTATAAGGATAGCTGATTCAATTTCATTCCTCTAATAAGTATGAAGATGAATGAATTTCATTCCTCAAAACAGCTTTCATTTGTATGGCTTTTATTTGTATGGCTTTCACATTTCTTACTTTATGCTCCTCCATATAGTAACATTATCTCCATGTTTAAATCCAAGAAAATAAAAACATAGTGTTTATAGATGTCAGTTTAAAGAGTAGTATTTTCTTAAAGTAATGGGTTTATCACTACTCAATTTATGGTAAAGATAGAAGGAGATAACTTTTAGGGTTATACCATTTTTTTTCAGCACTGGGGATTGAATCTAGGACCTGCACACTGAGCTATATCTCCAACTCTTTTGTTAATTCTTAATTTTGAAACAATCTATGGTATATTGTGGCTACTAATGTGATTGCCATTTGTAGGGATTTAAACGTTAACTGCTCTACGTGCATTTTAAGGAGTACAGAAGTATACTGACTACTTTATCCTACAAATTACAAACCAACACATGAGGATAAGGATTTTAATGACAAAACTTAAGAGTAACTCCTTTCCCCCTTACAGTTCTTTATCATCAAACTCATTCCGATTAAAGGAATAAAGGAATGGATTATGTATTATCGCATTAGACCATAAGGATTACACCTGTGATACATTCCGCACAGTATACAAGGAAGTTTGCATATTTGCATATATATGTGTATACTGTTTTCTTGGCATATATATCCAGATTGTACACAGGTAAGTCATGGTTCCTTCTGTAAACATTTCGAGTTTACTATTTCTTTCTTTCTTTTTTTTTTTTTTGGTTTTTCTCCAGTACCGGGAACCGAACTCACGACCTTGCACTTGCCAGGCAGGCGCTTTTGCCGCTGAGCTAAATCCCCAGCCCCTCGAGTTTACTATTTCAAAAAAAAATTATTTAAAAAATTGGTTGAGAGATCACAAAACAAATACAGGGACTGTTAGATCAGTTATAAAAAGTAATAGAAACCAAAACATCACTTTACTCAGATTCCGAACAATGTGATTCCTCACACCACACTTCATCTATCCTTTGTTACATTGCTAATTCAATTCCCTCACCCTGATTTCCCTTACTTCAAAGCCCATCCACGTAAGTACTTCACTTATTGACCTCTTTTGTAAGAGTTCACATATGCAGCAGTTCATATTGTTTACTAAATAAGAGCGCACAAGTAAAGGGGAAAGTAAGGGCTGAGAGTTAGATTAAACATAGTGTAAATCTGAGCCAGGTATATAATGGTGCATACCTATAATCTCCAGCACTTGGAGGCATGAGGATCACTGCACTTCAAGTCCAGCCTGAGCTACATAGTGAGTTCAAGTCCAGCCTGAACTACACAGCAAGGCTCTGTCTCAGAAAAAAGCAAATTCCTCCTTTTCTTCTTTTTGAAATGGTACTGAGAATTGACCTAGCTCAAATTTAACAATTCTGTCTCAGGCTCAGTTTCCCAGAGAGCTGGGATTACAGCAGTGTGCCATTATGGCCTGCTGCAAATTTGTTCTTGCTATTGTTAGGTAAAGGTAAATTCTAGATGCCCTTGTCTTATGTCTTGGCAGATCCTGCAGCTCAAACAACTGGTAAAAGTGATTCTGTTCCAATTTCCTAGCCAAAAAAGAAGAGACTGGCAGCTTCACCTTCCTCTTGCATGGAAACACTTGCTCTTGGAACCCAGTTACCACCATACAACACGAAGAGGATCTGAAAACCCAGGCAAAAGCCCTATGCGAGCTCTCAGCCAACAGCCAACAACAACTTACCAGTCTGGGACATGTACCTAAGCCAATATGCTATAGTTGACAATGCATGGAAAAAACATGAGCTAGCCTCCCAAGCAAGTCCTTTCCAATCCCAAGTTTGAAACAAAGGAAGTGATTAAAAGATCCACTTCAATACCTATCATATAGCATGCAAACTCTTTAGCACATACAGGCTGGGTGATTTCTTGAACACACCTGGAGTAAATTTGCTTCTCATGCACCCATTATACACTCTACCTGAGCTGTTTTCTTTCCTGTCTCTTAACCTCCCGGATCATGTTCTTCACAAAGCCTCCCTAACCACTATACTTCCTTTCTCTCAGTCTGTGGGTTCTACAGCCTCTCTTATAGGTATAGTTTGCTTCTATGAATCACTTTCTCTTGATATTCTTTATTCAAAAGCATGTAATTCAGTGCTACTCCAAATGTGATTCACAGATTGTTTGGCACAATCCCTTTAAATGTACAAATTGAGAATAATGTTTCGATAGTAACTTGACAAAGTAATCTTCTGTGTCAGATCTAATCATAAATTGGCCTTGTCTTTGTTTTTTTTTTGTTTGTTTGTTTGGTTTTTTTTTTGTTTTTTCTCCGGTACCGGGAACCGAACTCACGACCTTGCGCTTGCCAGGCAGGCGCTTTGCCGCTGAGCTAAATCCCCAGCCCCTTGGCCTTGTCTTTGGAATCTCATTTTTCTGGTAATTAAACATTTTAAAAACAGACTTTTCTCAGCCCACTTTTAGGTTTACAGTGCAACTGAGCATAAGGTTTAGAAAGTTCTCATATACCCCTTGCCCACTCCCACCTATTCTAACTTCCCTCACCATCAATATCCAGGTTGAGATTACAGATGTGCACACCACACCCGGCTCTAATAATTTATGACAAAAGTATCAGTTGTGGCTGATAAACCATTATTCCTATAACTGCTAGGAGAGTTGTAATGTATATTAAAAAGAACAGAAATTTTGTTCCGGCCTAATAACAGTGGGTTGATAAATATGAAAACAATTATTATGTTCAATGTGATAAATGCTGTTTTAAAAAACAAATGAGTGAATGACTATCTCAACTTGCCTTGTGTATATGTGTAGTATACACTATTCAGACAAAACCTTGTTTGAATTACTTTGTAGATTATTTAGCTAAAGGAGAAATAAAGTATTTAAGAGAAATGGGCAAAAGCTGGGTGACTCGAAGGAAAGTCAGCAAGAAGGAAACTGGTGACTTCGGGGCGAGGAAACATGCAGCGAAACTTTTAATGTTTATAAAGAAAGCTGCAACAGTAGTTTGCGGGCGACTATATATTGTACAAACGAGGGGGGCACACCACGTTGTCTTGGTTTTCTCGCCAGCTTGCTGGAACTCGTGGGAATCAAGTACCTCAACCTAGATTCCCGAGTGGACCCAAGAAGAGAACAGGATCATCTAGGGCACACACAGACACTAACTGGTAAGGCTGCTCTTCGTCCTATACTGGCTGAGACAGTGCTTCAGAAATGAGGATAAGGAGGACGGGGGAAACAGGGAGGAATAGCAGTGTACGTGCTTTCATTCCCTCCTGGAAAATCAAACGCTTTAACCTGCAGCCCTGAGTGGCAGAAGCGTCTGGACGTCAGCCATTGCTCCTTGAAAATCACCTCAAATGCACACCACGGAGTTTGCCAAAAACGCGCCGGCCACAAAACTCATGCAACTCACCCAGCAGGTTAGACGCTGTGAAGTCTCACTGACTGAATCTTCTTCAACGTATCTGAGAGCCGAACTCAGACATTCGCGCCTAAACAACCAAAAGCCACGGGGACCGGAAGTACGTGAAGAAAGCCGAAACGCAGGTAGCGAGAGGCGGACCTCCAGCCGGGTCGCTTACGTCCTCAGAAACGCGACCAGGAGAGAGCGATTTGATTGGCTGGAGGGAGGGCGGTGTCTTCCTATGCCGGATTCGTCCAGCTGGTGTTAACGCAGGCGGGCTTGTGGACGTTGTAGTTGTGTAGGACTCTGACTAGTGGATCGGGAAGCTGAATAGTCCAGCTGCCCTACGCTACAGCCGAATCTGACACAGGTCGGCTAGTGAGTAAGACTCTGCACTTAGACGCCCGCCAAGCTTTCCTTTTAATCTTTCCCTACTTCATCTTTTTGCTCTACGTGCTTTGTCTACCCGTTTTTTGTTTTTTTTTTTTTTTGTCCTTTACATTCTTTACCTTCCTGCTGCAACAGGATCCTTCTCACCTTTGCCTTCTAGATGCTCGCCACCACAGACTTCTCATTTTCGACTAAGTCCTTGGGAATTCGGAGGTACAGCTGCAAAGCAGGTGCTTTTAACACCGCAGGGCCCATGTCACTATCTTCTCTGGCCACCCAAGCACCTAGTAGATAGAGGTCGCTCCAGGGCTGCCTCCCTTCTAGCCAGCGCCTCTTGTTATTAGGGTTTTGGCCGGAGACGCGGGACAAACTGTGGGTGGGTTTAAAAGTGAGAGACTAAAAAAAAAAAAAAAAAAAAGTGAGAGACTAGGAAAGACAGGTCTAAAATGACATAAAAGTGTAAATTATCTGTCCTAGTTACTTTCTCGTTGCTGGGACAAAATACCTGACACCCACAAGTTGAGGAAAGATTTATTTTAACTCACAGAGGTTTTAGTCCATAGTCAGCTGGTTCTAAGGCACGGCAGTATGGCGGAGGAGTAACAACTCATGGTGCGGCAGGCAGGAGGCAAGGAGCCTCTTAGCTTTCTTTCCCTCTTTATTCCAGCCAGGCTACAAGTCTATTGGTTGGTGCCACTCATACCCAGGGCGGGTCTTCTATTTTCAGTAAATTCATTCAGCCATACCCAGAACTATGTGAATTGATGAACTAATCCAGTTATCACACACACTTAATCCAGGATCACACATCATCCTGTTTTAATCACTGTAGCTTTGTAATATAATTTGAAATCTGGGATTATGATGGCTCCTTCTTTGCTCTTGTTACCCAATATATAGTGACCTTTGCATCTTCTGATTAGTTTTAGCTTGAAATTCACTTAGGTACGTTAGGTTCAAACAGAAATGGGACTGTTTGGTCTTACAATGGACCAAAGGACACCACCATACAGACACCCACATCCTACAAGAGGCCCAGCTCATCAGGAGCTGACCAGTGGTCCAAGTAGCCCTGGAGTACATCTTTCAAAGGTCACACGATGAACACAGGTGTCTAGTTCTAGCCAACCAAAAGTTTAGTTCCTTGAAGTACAGGATTAGTTGCCTGGAATTTCACTGGAAAATGTTATGAAGAAGAAGCTGATTGCAGAATTTATTTTTCCCTTTTATAAGAGGTCATATTCAATTAGTCTGATTTCAGAAAAATTTCTTAGATCAAAAGGGTCTGATGAGAAACTTTTCATCTTTTTTTCTCAATAATGTACCAAGATTACTAAGAGCAGGGACATTATAAAACTTTGTTATTAAACACTGAAAAAAAAAAAGATTGAAAGATCATTTATCTAGAAATTGGTGATTTGAGCACCAACAATATAAATATTTTTATTAAAAAGTATAAAAATATCTTGCCTCATTTCTACGAAACATAAATAGAAAGTCTCTAAAAATCCAGATTTTATAAACTTTGCTCACAAAATTTTTGTTGAAATGCTGGTGATTTAGATTATCATTTCAAAAAATTTCTTTAAACAAAAAGACACTTGAAACTGAAAAGGATATGGAACAGGGCCCCAACCAGAAATGAAAAGTTAGCATACTTTTTCATCAGAACCAGCTCTTCAGCCCTTTGGGACCTAAGGCAGTGTTTTGGAGAGGGGGGTCCCATTCCTGGAAGTAGGCTTTTTAGGATTCCTGAATAAAGCCCAGCGACCCAGACAGAGGCTGGTGAGGGTACCAGGGGGTTCCCAGGGTTCTCCACCAAGACAGTTTAGTTAAGCTTGCAAATCTATGCCTGCCAATCTGTGACTTCATGAATATAATGTCACATCAGGTGTACTTTGTCAGGGATCCCTGCACATGGAACAAGGGTCACAATGAGGCACATGAACTTTTCCCCCTTGAATTCCATGGTGATGAGACAGTTCTGAATCCTTAGCTGAAGTTCAAAGCACCCTCACAACCTCCAACCCAGTGAGTGTTAAGATTAGCCTTGAGGTTGGAAGGTTATTAATAGGTCCGATGGCCTGTGAAGTTGCACATGTAGTTCCTCCTTTTGGAGAATTCTACCTGAAGGGCACAGTATTGGCTGAAGGCAATGAACACTGGAACAGGAGCAAGAGGAATAATTTAGTGTTCCCAATAGCCACGACACTGGACAGGCAGGTGGCAAACAGGATGAAGGTACACTGTGGCAGAACCAGCATCACTGTTCTCCTCGGCATGGGTTGGCTCACAATCAAAGACTGGGGCAAAGATACAGCCTTGGTTAGGATGGATTTGACAGTTTCTGCAGACAACAGGGGAGGGGGTCTTCAAAAAAGCCCATAAGACACCACCCTGTTTAGTCACAGGAGTCATTTGGCAAAAGATAGGGGGCAGGAACCAGGGACAAAAATGATGAGCAGTTTTGAGTGGTTTCAAAACTGATGAGTGGTTTGATGAGCAGTTTTCCTTAGCAAGTCATTTTCAGAATTCTTTTGTGAGCAGATGTGATCTGAATAGGCCATCCTGGCTGCTGGCCTTTGTCCACAGGGAGAGAGCCACAAGACTTGTGAAAGCAAGGCTGACAGGAAACCGAGTTAGCGATGAGTAAACTATTAGGCATGCATACTTCAGTGTCCCAGGAACTGTGCTTCTTTTTCTCTCTTCCTGAGTATTCATTGTTTTAAGGTCTGGACAGCAGTAAAACAGGCAGGAGTAGAACTCTCTCCAGTGTGGTGGATCACACTTATCATGGCTGTGTAAGGGGTGAGGGGCTGGCTCTGGTGGCTCGGGCTTTAATCCTAACAAGCACCTTTCCACCCACCTGCTCAGTGCTTTGGCTGCCAGGGTGGAGGATGGGGGAGGACCACATCCACATGTGCTTTAGAATCGGTTACTTCAGAAGGAACGGTTGTCCCTGTTGATGGCTACATGAGATCAGGGCTCTGAATGTTGCTAGGAAACTGGGTCCTGATGCAGCGAGGAACTGGACCCTCACTTCCTTGGTCCTTAGTTCTTTATGCCCTTGATGAAAGAATTCAGTCAAGACACATTGACCACGCAGAAGTATATGTAGAAATTATCGTAAAGTAGATGTAGAAAGAGTTATGCCTTTAAGCGAGAAGCAGGCAATGCCACAAAGACATGTGCCCTGGGCACAAGTTTGGACACATTTTTACGCAAGTGTTATTTGGGGAACTGGCATGATTATGATGCCTATCACCATTTTACTTAGAAGTTCCCTAGAATGTCTTCCTGTCCTTTTTAGATGGTCAGTGTTTACTCAGGGTTTTTAATCATGTAAGAAGAACCTCATAAAAGATAAACTCTGAATTTCATCCAAATCTCAGCCCAATCCAGGAGGGTCTTTAGAGAACATTTCCCTTCCTGACGTTACTGGGCTGTAGGCTATGGCAGCCAGGAATGCAGTATGCCTTGTTCTGGAGTCACTTGGCCACATGTCAGAAGGAATATACACAGTGTATAACCTTAAGATGTCATTGTGCTGTGTGGGATCACTTCTGTTTGAGACCTAACAAGTGATTATAAATGTACTATACATTGATGTAGTTCTGTAATTAACTGGTAGTGCATGCTATTTTGGACCCATACGGTTTGTCCCTCTGGCCTGCTAATGTCCAACAATCTGCCTAACATGAGTTCTGCACAGAAGTGATAAAGAATGGGTCTTTTGATCGCTCAGGTGCAGCTCCATCTATAAGCACAGTGGTGGTGACTGCCCCAAAATCAGAGACAGGTTGAGGGGGTCTTATCTTTAATAGGTTACTTTTTTGGGCTCTTAGGCCGCAGGAGCTTATGCAAACAGGTGCCTTAACTGCTTCACTGCCTGTCTGCCCCAAGGTGCTACATATAATCCTTTGGCTGTCCTGCTTCCTCTCCAGGATCGACTCACATATGTCCACGAAGTGAACTGCACATGGAGCCCTGGGTGTGCGCAGTGCCTGTGGGTCAGAAAGCAGCAAAGCAGCCACAGGCACGAGCTTGACTCAAGGCAGTGGCCACAGGTGCATGGCGGGGTGCGGAGTCTGGAGCTTCTGCAGCCAGTGCATGCCTCTGCCCATCACTGCCACCACATCTGTGTCTCTTAAGGCTAACAAGGGTTTTATGTAGGGAGTCACAGCCTTTGTCCCTTTAGAGATCAGGGTATGTAACCTAAATGTGTAAATCAGCTCCAGAATATAAGAAAAAAGGAGTAAGGAATAGAGAAAAATATGCCTAGACCAGCTGCACAGTCAGTCTTTTAAAAAGCTTGCTACTTAAAGCAAGTTTATCATTTTGTCCCCTTAAGAGGCCACCCTTGCCTTACATTTTGACTATTCCTATTTTTTTAAAAGAAAAACAGCCTTTATTTAAAGACACAAAAGAAGATTCTTCCCTAAGTTAACCAATTGTGAACTAAATAATTCCTGCCAGTAACAAATCACAGCTATTTCTTTTCATTGCATAAAATTGTAGGTCTACATGCTAGGTCCAGAGTTACTTTAATATATATACATTGCTTTTGAATCAAATTCAATTTTTATGTTAAAATCTAGGCATTGATTTTCTAGTGTGTGACATAGTTTTGTTTTATACTGCGTAGCTGAAGCCAGTTCTGGACTTATATTATTATCTTGTGCTATCTTTCTTCTGGGGAGTTGGGCTGAACATCTATATGGAAAGAACAGAGGAGCGCTGGGAGAACGCTGTGGACTCCCTTAATACAGGAAATGTTTCAGCCTGAATCTCTTCTAAGATAACATTGCCAGACATCAGGATGGTCAATTACTGAACAGCTATGCATTATAATTTAAAATAGAGAATTTTTAATAAAGAAATATTTTGTTCAACATCACACAGGTAGTAGATTTAAGATGCCTTGCTAATATCTGAAGCATAATACACATTTGGGTTTGCATTTACACATATTGAATAAATAAAATTGGCTCCATCTAGTGGTTAACAATATAAAACCATTTAAATCACTGTTTAGCTGGTTGTGGTAGTGCATCCCTGTAATCCCGGCACTTGGGAGGCTGAGGCAAGAAGATCGCTGTGAGTTTGAGGCCAGCTTGGGCTACACAGTGAGTTCAACACCAGTCTGAACTACATAATGAGACTCTGTGTCAATAAATAAATAAATAAATAAAAGCTTAACTTGCACATATCATATGAAAAAGTAAAAGTAAAAAGAATTTGATGAGAAGGAAAAAATAAAAGTTATAATTTAATTAGTATTATCCTATATAATTTTGAGTTAGAATTCTTAGCATAAAATTTCCTAATTAAAATTTCATATTATACACACATATTTTATTTATTAATGTTTCAGTTTAGACAGGCATGCAAGCAAAGACCATGTAAAGATTATTGTCATTTCAGTAATTTATTTTAATTTAATTTTATGCCACTAAAATTGTGTTGTGATAAGCTTGTTTTATGCATATTCATTTTACACATTAAATTATTTCCATATATTTCAAATAATGTATAAGTTTGAAGTTACATTCTTTTTATACATTGAAAAATGAGTAACAGCTAATATGGTACACATGAAATACAACTTCAGGCCCTTAGAAATGGAGAAACAGAGACTTTTTAATATAAAAATTAAATTTGATTCAAAATAGAGCCTGAGGTTGGGTGAAACTTTTATTAAATTTTTTTGTCTTAATTTACTTACTTTTACAGATAAGGAAGCTGAAGTTCAGAGAAATCCAATGATTTGCCCAAATAACAATCAGGAATATAATAAATTAGAACCCAGATTTCTTACATCATAATCTATTGCTCATCAATTTATTAATCATTTATTAGATGACTATTTTGTGCACATCATTGTGTAGGCACTTCATGGTCTGCATAATAATTAGGAGATAGTTTTAATAATTAGGAGATGTTCTACATATCAGTCCTCTGCCTGAGGAGTGGCTGGCAAAAAATTTTTCTCATCCTGTAGGTTATCTCTTCACTCTGTTGTTTGTTTCTTTTGCTGTGCAGAAGCTTTTAATTTGGTTTGATTTCATGTGTTGATTTTTGTTGTTATTGTCTGTACAATTGCAGCTCTGTTCAGAAAGTCCGTGCCTACTTCCGTGCCATCCAGAGTTTTACCTATTTTATCTTCTAGCAGATTAAGTGTTTCTGTTTCAGTATTTAGATCTTGGACCCATTTTGATTTTTGCTTAGTGAATGGTGAGACATTTTTCAGCTACCATATATAGAGTAACAATTTCGTCTCCTCTGTTTATATTTCAGTAAGCATTTACAAAATATTTGCAACTTACTTTTTCTAATATGATAAAAGTAATACATGCTTTTTGTAAAAAAGGAAAAAGACAAATATAAAAAATAAAATATTATATAAGAAAATAGAAATCATTCCCTTCCCCATGTTTTGAGATGGTTCTTTCTAATAACATGAAGGGTATTTTTAGGGCTAGCCAGTCAAACTAGGAAATTCCAGATCACAGAAGTGCTTTGCCCCACTTCACAGGGACATAGCCATCTGGCCCAGGTTGGCAGCCTTGGACCCCAGCTCACTCACATGACTCCAGGTGTCTAGGTCCAGGGTAGACTCAGGTTGTCCCATGGGCCTTAGCAGTGTATAGGGAGGGAATCACAATTGTCCATGTCTACTGCAGAAGCTGGCAGAAAAAAGGAAAGCTGCCCCCCTCAATACTTCATAGTTCAGGCTGTAAAGGCTGTAATGTGTATGTGTACAACCTGCTGGTATTCAGGTGAGAAAGATCAGAGGTCAAGGAGTGGGCTTTATGGCTTGGCAATTTGATGATGATATGGGCATCTTGGATAACCACATCTAAGGACGCAGGGCACATCTCAGGGGAAGACAACCTGTATAGATGGTGCCAAGCCCTACTCTCACTCTGTGACATTTGGCATGTCCACTCGAAATCCCACTGGCACCCAGAGAAAAGAAATCCTAAATACAGTGGATATTAATCAAGAAAGAAGTGGAAGTAGAAATGAAATACAGGAGAAATGTAGCATTTCATAGTAGACAGAATCTGCCAGTTGCAACCAGCCAATTTTGTCCTCATGTCATTGAAATTGATTTTAATTACATTTGTAAAAATAAGTTTCTTTCATGTTAAACTGAAAATTCTTCTAGCTCATAATTTATCTCAAGAGAAGAATCCAATAGCTAGACTCACCCAGGTTAAAAGAAACAAAACAGGAGCCTTAGTTAGATGACTAGAGGGGTGAGTTGAGTTCAACATGTTCCCTTTAGGGATGTGTGAAAGCTGACGATACTAGGTTGAAATCATTCTTGTCAGACCTAGATAAAATTAGAGCTGGGAAGTAATAAAAAAGGAGGGCACCTGTCTGCTTGTTTGAAATAAATACTGTTTCAAGTATTATCTAGTGTCTCACAAGAGATTCCTCCTTGTTCTATGTAGTACATGATGCTTTGCAAGTCTCCTAGCTTGTTTATTCTTATTGTTGTATTCTACTGAAAAAGCCACATATATTCCGTGAGAAGTTACACGCTAATTTTATTCAACTGTTTATGATCAGTAGGGATGTTTCGAGTTTGGTGCTATTATGAAGTAATGATATCATGAACATTTTTTGTGTGTTTTTTGGCCAATATCTGCTCACATTTCTGGTATGTACATAGAAGTGAAATAGCTAGCATTGTGGGAAAAAAAAAGCTCCCCAGTGGATTCTTGGTGCTTCTACCAATGAGGTAGTAAGTTTTCTGTCTTTTATGAATTTTTACTTGTTCATACGTTGGCTTTGGTTGAATCTTGATGTGGATATTAACCTCAAGGTAGTGGATGATGACATAGCATTTGGTATGATATTTTGCACCTGTAGAAAACAATATTAATACATTTCACTCATGATTGTTAAATCATCTAACTCAATATCAGTGATACATGCATATCTCATAATCATGGTAGGCAGTAGTATGAAGTCTCATGAATCTACACATGCAGGACAGCTCACTGTCCCTGTGTACACTGCACAGTGCACATGTGGTTGAATTAGGAAATCTTTGGTGACTCACAGAATAAAGGAAGGTATATCATTCCTGATAAAATTTCTTCCGGGGACACTAATACCATGGGTCAGTGACATGGAGATCTTTATTTTAGAATTGTGATTAATCAGTTAGCTATTTCTGTGTAACAAGTTAGCTTATTATAAAAACTATCTTTTATTTGCTCATGATTTTGTGACCTGGCAGTTTGGGCTAGAACTGAATGGGAGCTTGTCTCTGCTCCACATGCTGACAGCTTCTCTCCATTTTATCTCTGGGCTTCATCTGAGTGGGCTGAGAGATCAGAGAGAGCTAGGACTCCTCATCCCCAGGGGTCTCCCTCATCCTCCCAGAACTTGGATTTGTTCACAGGCAGTAGCATTCAGGTTGGCCTACTCTTAGAACATGTGTAGTGTTACTGCTCTCTCATTCTATGTCACTAAAGCAAGCAGCAAAGTCAGCAGAGTTGAGAAGTAGGGAAATAGATTCCACCTCTTGATGGTAGTTATTGCAAATAGTCTTTGGCTAGTTTTAATCAAACCCAGAAGGTTAAATAAGAGCTTTGATTGGATACTTTCTTTCTACCTTCATGAATTTCCCAGTCTATTCCTGGCTTATACTTTTAAGAAACTATTACTATATTTTTAATCTGGTGAATATATGTGCATAATAACTTTTAGTTTTTTAAAAAATAAATAAAAGCAAAATTGAGAGAAAATTGTTTGTAGGAGAAGAATGAACTGGCATAGTGACTATTTTTTATCCCCTCTAAAATTTTCAATTCAATTTATCCAAGAAGAGCCCAGGCATGGTGGCAGACACTTATAATCCCAGCACTCGGGAGGCTGAGGCAGGAGGATCACTGCAAGTTTGAGGCCAGCATGAGCTACAAAGGGAGTTCATAGCCAGCCTGAACTACATGATGAGACCCTGTTTCATAAAAAAAAGTATATCCAAGAAGAAGTGAGAACAGCAAGTAAAGTATGGGTTAGTTAATAAGGAGGAAACAAATCTTATTCTTGGATCAGATATACTTTTATCCTTTAACCTATTGATATTCTTTTAATTTTGTTAATAAGACTAATACAATTGCCAGCGTCAAAGCATACTTTCATTGCTCCTGGCTGGGGGTGGAAGCCTGGGAAGAATGACAGGTCCAGGACAAGACCCCCAAAACCACAAGAGAACACACTGTGTTAAACAGACAAGAGCAGCAGCCCTCACTCGGGTTGCTACAGAATTAGGAAACTGCAACCTGGGAGAAGCAAGGGAACAGGCGGCCTGGATGCCCATGTCGGGGCTGTTGGCGTGGGCAATCCTGCTCCTCTGGCAGCATTAACACAGGAAACAGACAGGGTCAGACAAAGTCAGGGGAGACCTCAACACGTATAGCACAAGGGAGAAGACAAGAGTGGGACAAATGTGGAGGGAAGGAAAACAGGACAATGACAACAGATGCTCAGTTCTGCCATTGAAAAGGAATGTTTGTACTGACAACATAATTCTGCATTCGCCAAATTTCTTAGAGAACTGGCCTGAAAGTGTGGTCCTGCATCTCAGTAAGGATCAAGCCATTCCTTTGCTAAGTATCTAAATTCAATTAAGGAGAGACTCAGCTCAATAAAATAAATTATGTTCCTGGCACCTAAATAAATAAATAAATAAATAAAAATAAGTTATGTAGAGAGTTTAGCACAAAGACAACCTTTGAAAGTTGCCTGTACTCTTGCCCCCTTGACAAATTGTTCCCACTTTGTAACAAGGTAGAACCACAGAAGTCTGCTTGCTGAACTTTCGGGAACAATCCCTGTTCTTGTGGTCCAAGCGTTTATTCCTTCCCCCTCTCCCTCTCCGCCTTCAGATGACCCTATTTCACTACCCACTTCTGTTGATGTTGTTATTTTGACTTCAGAAGACAACTTGCTCAGTCACAAAGCCACAGGTGAGAATAAGTGTGCATGGGCTCACCTCCACACCTGGCCGTTTCCCCCAATCTGTTACTTCCTGCTACCCCCACCATCACCTACTGAAAGGCAGGCCAGGTGTTAATTGCAACCATATCTTCCACGATGAGGAGTACCAGAAGCTGTTAACGGTCTACAGCAAGATACGATGCACATAAATGAACCGAACTTCGAGAATTCCATAGGGCTGAATGCAATGGATTGTTTGATTTATTTACGAGCGGATGGGCTAGTCCCATGTCTCTTACTTACTCAGTGTGGCGAAACAACGTCTTTACCACTGTGGCTGGTGAGGCCTTGGGGTGTCAATTACAGGATTTACCCTGCTAGTGGAAGTGGACTGAGAGCTTTTGTGCGTACGGCACCACCCAGGGCAGGAGGTGGTAAAGTTCACAATTGAGAATGAGGTGGCTTTTGTCTATTTTCCTCATACATTCAGTGTTTCTAAATATGCAGAGATGCTCAGCTAAACTTCAATGGAAAGTGTTGACAATTTTAGGAGGAAGGACAAAGTGTAAGGGCAGTTTTCAAGGACAAAAGAAAACGTAATAAAACAGTAGAATGGGCCCCTTGGATTTTTTTCCACCGATTTACTTTTTTTTTTTTTTTTTTTTAAACAAGCTTCCCTCCCCTTTCTCATCATTCGGAGGTGTTTTCTTGTTAACTCCCACACCTCCGCACACGCAATCAACCCCTTAGTGGCCTGCTGAGGAATCTCTATGAACTAGGTTCTGCGTACAAAAAAGCTACAGTAAGATTGCAGCTGGCCTCCATTGTGAGATGGAAAGGGAAGGATATTACTTTTGTTTCTTGCGAAGGGGAGAGGTGGCTCTGCTCATGCTGCCCTGTATCCCTGTCTTCCAAGGTGATCTTTAAGCAGGAGTCCTGGGTTTTAAATTCCTAATAGGAGGGTTTATTGACGGTCATTATCAGCATTGTCCTTCATAAACCCAGCCTGGGGGGAAAGTCACAGTGGGGTCACCCCTAGAACACTGTAACACTGTACACAAAATAAATGGTACAGGCTGCCTGCTGTTCTGTCTCTCCCTCCTGACCAGGAAGCTACCTTTGCCAACTTGATTTATTGAGCACTTGATTTAGTGCCCATTAAATCACCCATCCTGTTTTGTTTTTTTTTGTTTTTTTTTTTTTGTTTTGTTTTTTTTGCTTGCTTGTTTTTTGTCTTTTTGAGACAGGGTCTCTCTAGGCAGTTCAGGCTGGCCTTGATCTCACTTTGTAGCCCAGGCTGGTCTGGAACTTGCAACTATCCTCCTTCCTCAGCCTCGTGAGTGCTGGGATTACAGGCGTGCACCAGCATGCCTGACTACCCCATCCTCGTTTTGAAGGAGTGTCACACCTTTTCATATGAAGTGAAGTGAGGCAACATTGGCCATGACCCAGGGACCCTCTGTGTGTGTCATACACTGTGATTTAGGTTCATTCCTATCAATGCAACTTTCCACTTTTCTCTAACCCTCAGTTTTTTCAGTGTAAAATGAAGATATTATGATGGCTCTGAACAGGTTCTATCTCAGAAGAGCTTTGATACATTTTTCAGCAAACATAGCCTTTCTTGTCTCTTTTGAAAAAAATTGCAAAATAATTGTAAAACACCCACAGCTCAATAGTACATGATTACAAATGTCCTTATAGATCCAACATAGAGGCTGAGGAACTTGCCTTGCAGTAAGAACCTGTGGCTAAGCTCAGAAAATGTAGGTATCTGCAGGTTTGAGGGAGAAGGAACCTACCAGGTGAAAGTGGGAATCCCATCCCTTTCCTGGCTGACACCTGCCCAGGCAGTTTCAGGTGTGACCTGAAAACTTCACACAGCACCTTGTCCAGGACAATTTTACCATGTGCATGTCCTACTACGACCAGCAGAGGGCAGTGCACATCTATGCACTGGGCTTTCGAGGCCAGCAACGCAAAGCTCATCCTGAGATCTTGTTTTGGAGACAGGGGTCAGGCTTTCACAGGGTACTAGGGCATATAAAATTAAACATTATTTAGAACTAATCCGGAACTCAAGTGTAGGTCCAGGAACAGACCAAGACAATTTTTAGATGAGGGGCATTTTGTTTTGGAATCATCTCCTCCTGCCCTGTATTATTATTTTGACTTTCAGCATTGGCATTATTGGGGACTGTGTCAGGAAACTAGGATTTCCGCTCCACTCAGACCCTGAGCGAGAACTTGCAGCTTCAGGAGTTCGCAAGTGATCATTTTTCACTTTGAAGTAGGAGGAGCAATGTGACCACTGCTCCTAATGCACAAGTGCTGCCCAGAAAGTCCTTCCCTCCCACATCTCCAGCTTCTCCCTACCGATGCGCCCTGCCACACAGCCCAGCAAGCCTGGAGTTTCATGTTCCAGAGAGGAGAGCAGGGAGTGTGGCCTCAGGTGGGCAGGTCCTAGTTTCCTTCTACAAGTGCATCAGAGACTTCAATGTGCTTTTAACCACCCAGCTGTATTTGTCACAGGATGACAGCTGAGAAAGGGAATATTGGGGCATAATACCCCAAAGAGATTAAAAATTTATTAACAGAGAGCTCACAGCCTGGAGCTGCTTTACATAAATATAGAATTGCATGGCTTTTGAATACAAACCGATTACTCTCCTTATTTTAGATTAGGCAAGTAGTTCCTTGAAACAGTAAAGAGAAAGGTTAGCATTTTTCTTTGTTCTTGCTCAATTGTCAGGAAAAGGGGCCTATTCTTGGCTTCTCTGTGGATACTCAAAACCTCTTGGAGGCAGGACCTTTATGCAGAATGACTTCTCTTTCTACACCAGTCCTCATATTCTAGCAGGGAAGGTGCTGTTCCCTTGCTCCGGAGAAGGAAACAAGCATACATTTATTAACCA